TGAATACATATGCTGTGACTTCATTGGCTGCAGGAGGAGGGATGCAATAAGAAAGCTAGACAAATCAATAGGAAGAATATCAGACCAAGATCTGAACAAGGGCAGGATATGGCCATCTTCTTCAGTATTCTGCRTTGAACGGGTAGTCCTTGTGAGTTTTGCCCCTGAAGGAAATAGAAGACTTCATTTTAGCCATAGTTCTTTTTCTAATATATCAAGCTCTTACAGTGCTTAGAGAAGCCACCAAGGTGGGATCTGAGCTATGTAATTGTAGGATACGTTTGTTCTAGATTTGTTTGCCTCTCTCTCKTGTGTTTTTTGTACACTTCAAACATCCAAATTGCTTCATCATTCAGGATCTTGGCATTCTAGGAAATATTTGCATGCAAAACCCCTGTGTATATAGTATTCATAATTTTGGGTTTGAAATAAAACAAACACTGAATGCTACCACTCACGTGCTCATTGTATAGACTCTCCAGTTTCTGTTAAAGCTGAAAATAGTTGCCATCTCCTCTTTAGTCAGTTTGAAGTCAAACACCTAAAAGAGAAAGAGCTGGAAATAACCTCTTTGAACAAAATAGAGACTGTAAGCAAAATCAAAAAAATTAAAGAACAAGTCTTCCAGGGAGGGGAACTGGTTAGAAGAAATGATGGCTTCATGAAAAAGGCATCTCCCTCTATTACCAAGAGGGAATAGAGAAATTCATCYGAAGTTCCAATTACACATGCCAGCTGTTGCAGGGCACTTGGCAAGCTCCTGCATCTGCCAAGTGTGAAAGATGCACCTTTCTGTCCTACTCCAAAGGTGCATCTACAGTACTTCCATATTTCACTTAATCTAGCTCGGCTTTTTGAAAYCCCAATGACCACTCAAAGCACTCAAAGACCACTAAATTAACAATGGAGCAACATGGTTTGTTAACAGCAGGACTCTTTTTTTTAACACTGCTTGGTCTATGTAAGGCTTTTGTGGTGTGCACTCAAGTAAAGTGACTGCTAAAATTATCAGCACACTGTTTMAAAAAAAAAACTAGGTTCATTCCTGCTCTCCAATTGTAACCTTAAGTTTAGCTGTTAGGAGAGTGTGTGAACAGACAGAAAGCCCAGTGTTCTTGCCTGAGGAGGAGCTAGGAAGAATGATAAAGGATCACTGCTTGCTGTGCAAGGAGAAGCCAAGCYATCCCTGAAGGGCAGCACCCAGCTCACTACTGATCCCTCACCTGGAAATTCTCCACAATGCGCCGTGGGGTGACAGACTTGGGAATCACAATCACGTTTCTCTGGATCTGGAAACGAAGGAGAACCTGCAAGAACAGAGAACTGAATCATTCGTCCTGCTCTGGAGGAAGCAGAGCCTGTTCGAACAGCTGTTATCTCTGTTTCAAATCATTCCCGTCCTTGCAGCCCTGGTTGATCTGCCTGGAGAGCAGAGGGAAGTYGGTAGAGCCTCATGTGAAAGCTTTCCCTTCAGTTTTGGGCCAGTCAAGTCTTCCTGCTCACCCAGACTTCTATCAAGAAGTCATTCTCTGCAAGAGGATTTGAGGTGAAGRCTAAAACATTACAGCATTTGAAGATGGGTCAAGAAAATGTTTCATGGTGACAGCACACTTGAGAGTGTGCATTGCCGGCCACATAGAAAACAGAACTGCACTGCTGCCTCACACCAGAGGTGACCAGGAATGAAGAGCCAGCCTGTCCTCTACATTGTCATGAACTGTCCTATGTGACAGAAAGGGGTGCCCACAGTCTGGCATCTGTGTACCTGGGCTGTGGATTTGTTGTGCTTGGCTGCAATTTCCTTGATCTTGGGGTCATCCAGAAGGGAAGGATCATCTGGCTTAGCCCTACACAGAGGAGAGATAGCACCAGAAATCTGTTTTGAGATCAGTTGCTAATAGTACATTTACTCAGTGCTCCCAGCATTATCCATGCCAGTTCCTTTGCCAATTGCAAAGCAATCTCACCATGGTCTGTCAGGAGAGCCGAGGGGGCTGTATGCTGTCACAGCAATCCCTTTGGATTGGCAGTAGTTCACCAGCTTCTCCTGGGTAAGGTATGGATTGCATTCGATCTGCCAACAGAAGAGTGCAGAGACTGATAGAATACAGCTATAACTCACTCCAGGGATTATCTCTTAATGCACTTAAAAGCTGTTATTTGTCCTCATCTGCCAATCTTTGCAAGGTATTATTCAGCTTTAGTTTTCTACAGCACCTACTTCTACAGTGACATTTCTTGTACCTCTGGGTGTTTGCTCTGGAGAAGGAGCATTTCACAGGGCTTGTCTCTGGGTTCTTTGGCYCTGAGAAGGCATGTTCTGAGGTGCTTCTCAAATTTCTAAGCAGTAGCTTAGAAAATATTGAAAACCCCAATGCCTTGTAGGTTCAGCAATAATGTGGAGTGAGATTAGAGCTACACCTGGTCTGTCTCCCCCCTTGTACGTTCTAGACACAGAAGTCCCTTTCTTATGAATTTGCGTGAATGGATTCCATAGATGGCTATAGTTTTGGACAGAGATGCATTTTTTTTTCCTTTTAGTATGCTCTTTCTTTTTTGTAACTACTTGCAGAGGAAAGACTGGCAATCTCTGGAGACTGTGAACTTAATACTCTCAGTGAACATGCCAGAAGTACTGAATTGAGAACTGTAAGAGATGTGTGAGTCTGTCCAAGGGTCCTTGAAGGGACAAGCTTCTCCACCTCCTGCATACAAGGGGGGAGGTGGCTGTTGTGTGCAAACAAAGACTAGGTGGTTTTCTTTTATATGTGTGTATACACACACTATTTTTTATTTTATATAAATTTAAAAAAAAATCTTCAGTGTATAAACCAGGAAGCCATTGGTGTATCAGTAAATGCTGTGCTTCTGTATAAAAGTTAAAACTGACCTCCCTTTCCAGCTGGGTGGCTGAAGTGTGGATTCCTGCATGAGGAGAAACATGTGTAATGTGAACAATTATCTGCTATTCCTAACAGATTGATGCCGTTACTAATAACAGAACAAATATTTTAAGAAGTTCTAGTTGTAATATGTGTACTTCACTCCCTATCAGGACACAGATGTAYAACTTCTTTATGTGTGCACAGAAGTAATGATGGGGTGTAATTGTGCTTTGTCTGCTTTGCTCCCCCTTTTTGCATCTCTTAGTGCAACTGGAATTGTATCTTTATCATCCCAGAAAACCAGTCACCTGCAGTCACTTTGYAGCTCACCTGGACGTTTGCAGGCTTGTGYTTCAGTCCTGGCTTGTTCAAGATTCTTTCAATCTGCTCGTGRTTAAAGTTGGAGACACCAATGGCTTTCACCAACCCACAGTCCACCAGCTCTTCCATGGCCTGRCAGAAAGAGGAACACAGTCAGTATCCAGCAGGCCCTGAAAGTATTCCTCCTAGTGTGGCTTTGTTTCCCTTCATGGACAAGGAAAGACAACTGTTTGGGGCTGCAAAGATTGTCTCCTGGGGGAAAGTGCACACTGGTGTTTTTGTGCCCTGTCTTCCATCCCACCCAGACCCAAGGGCTCCTTTCTTGAGATGGCAGAAATTCACACCAAGTTATTTTCACATGGGAAATAATGGTAATCAATAATAATGTGTCCTTAAGCCAGTACCAGCACAGGCTGTGAGCGAGATCACAACCTAATTAATTTCAGCAGAGTGTATTTGAGCAGTTCAAGAACAGTGGTGAGGACAGTTCTGTTTGTGTTTGGTCAAGCAGTCTGGCCTGCAGCTCCTCTAAAGGCTATCAGCTTGACYGAGCATATATGTTTTGAAAAGCTACATTGTATACAGTTCAATAAATACACAAGAATTATGTGACTGCTGATGGTAATGAAAGCATGGAAAAGACTGTCAGTAACAGCAAACGTGATTTCCAACTATGGCTGAACTTACCTCCCATGTATCTAGAAAATCTGTGTTGCTGGGTATGGACATGCCTTTGTCATCTGTGGGAAACAGCTCCTCTCCTGCCTGTCAGTGACAGAGAAAATGATTGAAACACTCTTTTTATTGGCAAGTTAATACCAAGACAACTGAAGACCATGACAGCTTTAACTATTACTACAGAAAATASTAGTATTTGTGTGCACCATTCCTGTAGGTTTATGGCATTTTGCCAGCAACCATTCCCAGTAGGAGGGACAGGTGTATGTCCTGGATCCAGCAAARTGGTGACTCACTAAAACACATACAGATAAACAAGTTGCACCATCTGTGGAACAAACAAGCTTCCTGTACTCCTCTATTGTTCCTTTAGGARAGAACTGAGTTGTTTGGGGTYTTTTTTTTTGAAGGACCTGTTAAGGTCCCAGAAATATTTAAGTCAGGTTTAGGCTGCGCCCCATCTGCTGAACAAGGTATTATGTAAACACAGGTATCCTATGAGGGAGTGTCAGTTTAAGTTGGCGGCAGATCAGAACAGCCCAGATGTACAAAGTCAGAAATAGAATCCTGCATCTCCCTGTTACTCCACATGCAGTGTTAGGTAGATGCAAAATATTATGCCATGATATTTTTACTCAAGGTCATTGTTCACACAAAACTAACCATGACAGTTTTTCAAGTATGACACACAGTTGACAAGCTCAAAAGCAACACATAGGATGAAGGTTGTAACCTGTCTRCAGCAGAAAGAAAAAGCCAAGACTAGACACAGACTGAGACATCAGTTCCTTYGAAGCACATGAAGTATGAGATGTATTTCATGTACTTCTGACAGGGATGTCAGAAAGTCTCACCTTTTGAAATCCAGGGTCTGTGGAAYAACTTTAAGGCTCCTACAGCAAAAGTCAGTTCAATCTGTATTGTATTAACCACTCAGGGATTAAAGAAAGAAATGGAAGACAGAAACATTCTCTTGTTCTGKGATTCTGTAACATGCAAAGGAAAGAATTTCTGTCAGGCAGAAGAGTACAGCCTTYCTACCCACAAAGCAGGAAAGGATGATTTAGCCAGAAGTTAAGSAACATGAATCAGTCTTGCATTTGGGAGGCCTGACCTTAGTTCTGTGTCTGGCTCCCCATTATCAAGAGGGCAGAGGACGCTGTGCAGGCAGCGCTCTTGGGGCAGAGATCAGGGGCCTGGCTGATGTGGGCAGAGGAAAGCAGGATGGGCAGCACTGGAGCARTGCTGGCACAACAGGCATAGGCTCTTTTGGGAGCAGCAGTGGTGCTGCAAGTGCTCCTGGTGCTTCTGAGGAGCTCTCCCAGAGAGGATACCAAGGGTATTGCTGCTGCTGTACCTTGAAGCCCAAAGGCCAGTGCATGAGGTAGAGATCCAGGTAATCCAGTTTCAGGTCTGCGAGAGTCTTCTGGCAGGCTCCCTTCACCAGGGGCTTCTCATGAAAAGTAGACCACAGCTGGAGAGAAAAAACCAAGGCAGATTGTGACCTCCTGAGTCAAATCTCTTTCCTGAAGGAGGAAGAAAAAACTGGCACACTTTCTGGGACTGTTTCTACTGAACACGTATTTTAAACAATCCCATAAAAATTGAGAATGTGGAACACAAATAACAGTAAGACATTTCTATCATTGTGGGCCTGAACTATTCTCCTTATTATTACTCCACACTATAGCACACAGCYTTTCCCCATTGCTCTGAATTTCCCTCTCTGTGTATGTTGTCACAAAGCAAGCTGTCACCTGGATCGTAGGTCACCTTACCTTACTGACAATGAAGAGGTCYTCCCTTTTCACAACCCCTTCCTTGATTTTCTGCTGGATCCCTTCTCCAATTTCACTCTCATTCTGGTACACRTAGGCACAGTCAAAGTGGCGGTACCCGGCATCRATGGCAGCCATCACTGCAGCTTTTACTTGCCCAGCTGCAGACTGGAAAAAGAAGGTTAAAATCCCAAATCAAAGGCCGTTTCCTAACAACTAAACAAACACATACGACTAACAACAAAAGAAACACATACAATGGGGTTTTAAGTAGAGTTTTCCTGTGCCRTGTTCTTAAAGCTCTCTTCATCTTACAAATGCAGGCTGCTGGGTTTAAAGCCAGCCTCCAGCCATTTATCCATAGCCCCAGTCCCAYGCAGGCTCAGCCAACAGCCAGGTAGAGAAGAGCCCCCAGCACCAGGGTAGCTTGCCAGAGATGAACCAGGGGGAACMGAGTTTTGTACCAGGGAGCTCTGCAGTGCCTCTTTCTCTCTTGCCCAGCACTCTTTGCTTCCCAGTATTGTGTATAAGAGAAACAATCAAAGTGCCCAGCTGGGAGAATTGAAGTTCTATGGGATGGGCAGTGGTCTACACCTTAGTCACCCAAATCACTTTGGAGTGTTGTACCATGATCTAGCTCAGAGCTGGGGCACATCCCACCTGTAATTTGAAGTTTATGTCAGCTGCTTCCTTCAGAGGCAGAGGAGATGTGCATTTCTATGTATTTCTATATCCTGAAAGGGCATGTAAGAGCTGTGCACAAATAAATGTTGGCATATCTTGTTCCTACAAATCCGGCAATGTTTGTTTTTAGGCATTGTCTAGATCAGTGATTTTGTAGTCATCGTAACAGCAGCGCAAACCTCTTTGTCAGAACTTGCTTGAAACGCATGAATTGTCTTCTAAAGCCACATCTCGWTACCAGATGATTCCTGGTGGCCTCGCCCAGGATTACAGTTACTCAGCACTGAAGCGGCAGGGAAGTGCTCCAGTGCAGTGGCACGGGAGCCTTGGCGGCGGGAAGGGGCAGGGACAGGAGGGACCCGGGTGGCCGCCGCAGCAAGGGGAGCCTGGTCGGGATAGGCGGGGATGGGATCCGAGCATCCCTAGAGGATACGGGAGGGATGGAGCCGCCGCCTGTCGCGGAGCCGGAGACCCAAGGGTCCCCTCTCCCTCGCGGCAGGAGCGGGGCGGCAGAGACGGAGAGCACGCCAGGGAAAGAGGCTTCAAAAACAGAGCCAGGACCCTGCCTGCGGAGACAGCCGGAGCGAAAGGGCATCCCCGGCAGTATCCCGGGCGGAATGTCGGGGATAGCGGCGAGGACGTGTCACCGACCCGAGCTGTCCCCGCTCCCTGCCCACTCCCGAGTGCTCCCGACCCCTCCAGAGGAGACGGCACCGGGCGCAGACCCAACCCCGCTGAAAGCGAGCGAGCGACCGCAGCCCCCGTTACCTTCCATGTGCCCAGCCCCATGAGGGGCATCTTGGCGCCGGTGTTGAGCTGCACGCAGGTCGCCATGGCTCCAGCGGAGAATGCTGCCCGCCGGTACCGCCCGCCGAGCCCTTTAATGACGGCGGTGCCGCGCCCGCCCCGTGCGGGACCCGCCCCGAGAGCCACAGCCCCGCGGGGACACCGCGGGGACACCGCGCTGGGCAGGGGCAGCGCTGCTTCCACCGAGCCACCGGAGCTGCTCTCYGGGCTCCCTCCCAAAGTGGAATGATGCTTGCGGTAACAGGAGAGGAAAAGTGACCTCCTTTGTAGGAGTAAATTAGAAAGCAGTTATTGTAAAGAAGAATATTCTTTTTGGGGTTGGGAGAGTTTTCCTTTAAGGATTTTTGAAAGTTACAGAATAATAGATGTTACATTGAGGCCACCCGAGAAACTTTGCTGCATGCTCGTGCTTGAAGAATTTATTCAGGTATGAGCATCATTGGGAGTATAATGGTGCATTTATCTCTGCGTGCCTTTCCCAGACCTAATGTCCAGCTACTTTGTAGCTCTTTTTTGCCCTGTTTCCCTGAGGGCAGATAATAGTTYATAATCCTCCCGGTTTTTGTCAGCACCATCAGCCATCCTCAGCAGGATGTGATGTTTCAGTTAACATCACAAAATAGTTATGTAATGCAGTGTTTGCCTTTTACTTTTTTTTTTCTTTTTCTTCCTGGATTCCTTCTCTGTAAATCTGCCCTGAGCATGCTCAGACTCTGCGGTTTGCTTGAGGGGACAGTGAAATCAATGTAAAGAATGTGACATTAGGAGTGCAGGCGACAGTATTAAATACAAGCTGTTTGCATGGCAGGTCTGCTGCCATCATAGTCTGGGGGATTTTACATTTCCCTTTTTCCTTYCTACTGTCCCTCCCTCAGTTCAGGAAAACAGACACCATCCATCTGCAGAGCTGTAGGAAACGGACTGGAGCCAAGGTTAACAGAGGGGCAGAACTGGTGTGCAGAGTGAGTGAATACTGTCAGAAAGGTGGTRTTAGCTGGGCTCAGAGATCAGTTTTTCATGCCCAACATCTGTCTTGGTCTTGATTAGCAAAAGTCAAGTGTGGACACTTGTCCTGACAAAGACTGTTGCCCTTCACAAAAGCCACCCTATATTGAAACACCAAAGTGATCACTTGCATTGTTAGAAGGCAWCAGCCCTTCTGGCTGATGGCAACTGCTAAAAGATGATGCAATAAGCACTTCACKTTTTTTTTTCAAAAGAAAATGTTGAGTCATGCCTGTGATTTGCTTTTACAAGGCAGATAAAGTATCRGTTTGCTTTTGCTCTCCTTTGTATTTCCTGGATGCTCAGTACAGTGGTGTTGTGCTTTGGCTCCAGCTGTAGGTCTCAGTGTAGGAACTGACAGAATCAATCAGATTTTTACATTGCTTTCTCTGTGGCCTGTGAAAGTGGGGGCTTGGTTTTCCCCAATGGTTTATTGAGTGAGAGATGTCTCTGTCTTAAAAAGAATTTTGGGCAGAAGGTTTGCATTTGCTGTAATGCATGGRAGGTTCATTGTTCAGTCTCTCTTATAACCAAAGCACTCATGACAAAAGCACGGGTTTTGTTCACACCTCACTTGAGAACAAAAGCTTCCTTTTAATACATAAAAAAGCCAAGTTCTTTTTGCATTTGTCATGGGGCAAGGGAGCTAAACTGGATTCACCAAATGCATCAACACAGGAAGAGCATGTCAGGGAAACTGCTATACATGCACTGAAGGAGTCTTGGTTCATAGGAGCTATGGATGATAAAGCRACAGGAGAATGATACCTGGAAATATTCACCTGTGTGCCCCTCATAAAATACTCCAGTGAGTCACTGCTGGCTCACCTGGGGGAAGTATAGCAACTCAACTCTGACCTATGTCAGCCTCTGGGCAGTGGCTCAGCACCAACACATGCTCCTACACCTCGTGTCCTCATCATTTTGGATATCTTCATGGGTGTAGCCATGTTTCTCCATAGTATGTTTTACTGAGGGCTTATAAAGCTAGATTGATGTCAGCAGAGCCTGGCAGCCAGATCAGGCCACATTTTCACCAGAGAACTTTCCAACACTTCCAGTTATTGTTCTCTAGGCACTTTCACATCGTATGTACCAAAACTCCTCACACAATTCTTGTCTGCACCAATTGGTCAGTTATGGTTCATTATATCAAGTTATTTTAACTCCTAATCAAGGCAAGTTCTTGATGCTCCTGTGATATTCAGTCTGTCAGCTTTTCTGGCATCTTTTCTGTCAAGCACCTTTCATCCATGCACTCATCCCTACAAACCAATGATGTCCAATGCAAGTAGCTCAACTTGTCTAAGTGTATTCACCTACTGCATACTAAGTTAAAGAGAGGCACAGCACTAAGTCAGTCAGCATTAGGCCTTAGTACTATAAACCTCCACAAAAGCTGTTTTTTGCTAATCATCTTGCTCTTGAGGAAGTCTCCTGACCACTCAAACTTCCTATGCATTTGTCAGACCCCACAGCTTAGTTTGGTGTGGATGTTATGGATCAGAATGGTGTCAGAACACCTCCCAGCTATCTTAGACTGCCCAGCCTGGCTCACCTGCACCCTCCACYAGGAGGGAGAGGCCTTGTCAGAGGAAACCTTTACTCATTCCCACAGTTACAGTAMAGAGACCTGTCCATACTAAGGCTTGTCATGCTCAAGTGTTCTTGTCAGCATTGCTCTGGCAAAGCTTATAATATCAAATTATTGAACTTTTGATCAATAAGACAAGATCTTGATGCTCTTGTGMCATCATTTAAAATTGAACAGAGATGTTTATTTCCAGTGACATTGATAGTGCAAGTTTCTTGGCTTGTTAATTTTAGCCTTAGAACAGAACTTCCAAGCAAACAGTAATCCAAACATTTTTATTTTGTTTAAGAATGAAATTGAACACTAACCTCTGTTCGGTTTCAGCCTGTAAAAAAATGTGACTGAAATAAGGCCCAGTAGGAGTTGGTATGCATTTGTAGGTCTGGACACTTCTCCCATTCATTCTTCTTTCCCAGAAAGCTTTGGGCTGCGCTCTAGAAATAAAGTTATTAATTGTCTTTTATCTTCAGGCAGTGATTATGTAGTTTCAAGATGGATCTTTCTCCTGCACTCACATATCCTTAACCCTGCAGCCTTATGTGGTGTTGAAGCAAGACAGAATGTAAAATCAGTTGCTAGTTCATTCTTCTGTTTTCTCTTTGTTATTTCAGCCATACAGAGACACTCATGTAATGAGAATTATCATGGCCTATATCTTGTTCTTCAGAACAAATGTACTATTTTCTTCCACCAAAGAAAAAAAAAACCCGAAGTCACCGAACACAGATCCTGTGCTTTTGCTGGCAGGAGAGATACAGTGTGTAAGCTACATAGTGCACAAYTGGAGGCAATGGTAGAAGCTCATTAGACTCTGGAGGCAGGACAAAACCATCTTCAGTATTCTGCATTGAAAGGGTACTCCTTGTGATTTTTACACCTGGAGGAAATAAAAGCAGAAAGATTACTCAAGGCTAAAATAACTGCTATATAGAACAGTGGGTGTACAAAGGAGCCTTCAAGGGARGCTCTGAACTAAGTAACTGCAGGGTGAAATTTAAGAGACTTAAGAGTATAAAAATAGCATACAGGACAAGTTCCARTCTTTTTCTTTCATTCGGGCACTGAACAGTGGTGGGATCAAGTTACTTTCTAGATAAAGAGTTAAATTCACACTGCTAACAGAGCAAACAGCAGTTTCTCTGGCCTTTCAGCCATGACTTCTTATACTTTTAGCCTCCAGGGTGCATATCTGTGAGTAGTTGTGCTTTGTACAGCATGACAGATAGTTATTCCCACCCCATACACCCRTGTAAGTCCCACCATCAATTTGTAACACTCCACAGAAAAAAGTTACTGTATGTCTTAAAACTGCCTAATGCTCATTTACCAACTAAAACCCTCATTTTGGAATTCCAGGCATACAAAGTTTCCTGGGGACTGGATTTACAATGAATACACAGCATAACTTATATTCACCCTAAAGTCAATAAAATATAACAAAAAGATGCTTCATCTCCCAAATTATTTCAGATTTTGAAATATATCCAATTTAAACAGCAATACAAGTGGTGAGATCAGAAGAAAGACCATTGAAAGTATAAGAGATGGAAGGACACAAACTRTCACTTACGTGACCATTTCACAGATCCTCCAGTTTCTGTTTAAGCTGAGAAGGGTTGCCATCTCCTCTTTAGTCAGTTCAAAGTCAAACACCTAAAAGAGAAAAAACAGCTGGAAATCACTTCTTTGAACAAATCAAATCAGAAGCAAGATTCRCAAGATGAAAGAACAAGTTCCTATGAGAAAGGATGCTGCTTACAAGCAATGGCTTCATGAAACAGGGGAAGGAAAAGAAGTATCTGGATTTTCCAGAGTCTACTGGCAGAAGGAAGAAACAGAAGATCAGGACACATCATGTAGAGTGCCTGATGAGTTTATGAGCATGCTGTTTCCAAGAGCTCTGTCTRTTCTTCAGCTGGAGTCTTCACTGTAGCCCTGACTTCCTGAACGAGAGAAAGAGCCCAGTCCTCTTGCTGCAGGAGGACATGGCAAGGGTGAGAAAGGATCACTGCTTACTCTGCAGGGAGGAGCCAAGGCACCAAGCTCTCACCTGGAAATTCTCCACAATGCGCTGTGGGGTGACAGACTTGGGAATTGCAATCACATTTCTCTGAATCTGGAAGCGAAGGAGAACCTGCAAGAAGAGAGCATTGAATCATCTCTCCTGCTCAGGAGGAAGCACAGCCTGTTCCAAGAGCTGTTATCCCTAACTTGTACCCACTTCTGCAGACCTGCATTTCCTATCATCCCTGTCCCTGCAGTCCAGGTAGCACTGCCTGGAGAGCAAAGRGGGAAGTGGGTGGAAGCTTCCATGGAAGGCCTCCTTTCCCATCCAGTTTTGGGCCAGTCAATTCCTTTCCTTTGCACCCAGAATTTTAGSAGTCTATGCAAGGCTTTCATTCTCTGCAAGAATACTTGAGAGGAGAAGTCACAATTGAAGATGGGTCAAGAATATTTTCTTGACTGCTGCTGGCCATAGTAGTAGTATATCTTGTAGGCCATAGAATGAGCAACCTGTATTGCTTCTTAACACCACAAAAAGGCCTGTTCACAGGTAACATCAGGGAGGCTGTTCCCTCTCTTCAGATATAGTTTCCTTAATGGCAGAGTGACAGGAAAGGTCACCCACAGTGTGGCACCAACCCACCTGTGCTGGGGTTTTGTTGTGCTTGGCTGCAATCTCTTTGATTTTGGGGTCATCCAGAAGGGAAGGTGCTTCTGGCTTGGAACTAGACAAAGTAGGGGAGAAAAGGATGAAACAACAAAGAATCACTTCGGAAAGATTCTATCTAGCCCCATCAATTAAAAAGGAAAATTAAAGTATATACACCTGCACCATTACTCTACAGTCTGAATGTTTCAAACTTAAGTCACACGAACCCACTTGGAAATTACCCGTCAGGACGTCCAAGGGGACAGTACGCTGTCACAGTGATCCCTTTGGAGTGGCAGTAGTCAATCAGCTTCTCCTGGGTAAGGTATGGATGACACTCAACCTGCCAACACAGAAGGAGACTGAGAGCTGTAGAACTACCATAGCTTTYCTTTGCTCCAGAGGTTTTTCTGAATCCTAATTTCCTAATTACAGRTTGCCTTCACCCGACCCTGAAGGTGGCTTATGTGACAACCCAGACTATAATTCTATAGGGCACCAACTTTTATATTGAGTCTTTATGTGCTTTTTGGATTTTGTTCTGAGAGGCTTTATAAGAGTCGATCATTATGTCTGAATGATTGCTCTTATCTGGATTCTTCCTGCCTCCAGAGAGAATGGTTCCTAGGAAAAGACTCCAGAGTTTGTGGTTCAACAAGATGAGACAAAAAGGAAATATTCTGGTTCTGCTTGTATGAAGAAATATCCAGGGAGAGGGATTTAAAGTACATGCTGTTTCTACTTTGTWCTCCCTTTTCTACCTCCTCATTCAACTGTAATCAGAACTTTACAATCCCTGGAAAGTATTCCCCTGCAGTCACTTTGCACCTTACCTGGTTATTTGCAGGCTTGTGCTTCAGTCCTGGCTTGTTCAAGATTCTTTCAGTCTGCTCACGGTTGAAGTTGGAGATTCCAATGGCTTTTACCAGGCCAGCATCCACCAGCKCTTCCATGGCCTGAGAGGAAGGAGAACCAAGTCAGCATGCAGTGGACAAGACATGACTGAACACATTCTTCCTGCGTGCCTTGTTTTTCTTCATGGGAAGCACATTTTTAAAAGCTACCGTGTACTTTTGTGAATTCTTTCCAAATAATTCTGCATGTATGGATGAACCATTCTGCAACTGCTGAAGCCAACACTGCTGCTGGAGGACAGAAGATGTGACTCTTCCCCTCGAGATGAACTTACCTCCCACGTCTGTAGAAYATCWGTGTTGCTGGGGATAGCCATGCCTTTGTCATCTACAGGRAACAGCTCCTCTCCTGCCTGTCAGTGAGAGAGAAAATRCTTGAAAATCTCTTGGGAACCACGAGTGTTCACAATTACAATACCTTAAACTTCTAGTGCAAGAGTGSTAATTCTTGTCTACATTCAGCCATTCCTTCCTGAGACGTGGAAAGAACTTTACGGCTTTTTGCCAGTGACCATTCCCCATAAGGACAGGTTTTTCTGCTGGACCCCTGGAAGTGATGGCTGACCCAAACAACTACAGGGAAACAAACCAGTCAGAGCTACAGCCTCCAGTCTCACACGTGTTCTCATCTGGTGTTGTTCTTTAGCTCCCATTTAGCAAGAACTGTTTTGTTTTTCCAGAGGGACATCAACGCTTTGGTCTACACAACACCAGATCTGCTGAAAAGAGGCAYTGTGTGCACTGACAGTTCTTCCATGACAATGTTCAGTGTAAAACCACCGCTAGGAAAATCAGAAGAGCCTTTGTGTACAAGCTATGAAAAGATGCCAAGACTGAACTGTTGTTTAGCAGCTGTTTGCTGCTGTCACGAGACAGTTTAATTTTCATGGTTCTGTTACTATAAAGTTAAAATAGAGCATGAAAAAAAGATGAGTATCTCAAAGGCAACAAGTTGGATGGGGAAGGATAAGACTGTAAGAGGATAGAAAGGCTGTGACTAGAAATACTCAAACTGAGACATCAGCTCCTTCACTCATCTTCAGGGCCTAAACTCTCTCACAGAAGTTTTACCTTTTAAATCCCTGCTTCAGAGGAACAACACTAAGGCTCCTACAAGCAAGGTCTGCTCAATCTGTACTGCATTAAGGACTTGGTGATTAAAGAGATACATGAAAACCAGAAATACTTTCTTTTGCTCTCTGATTCTAAAACACAGAAATGAAAATTTCAGAGAGGCAGCAAGTGCAGGCCTTCTTCCCACAAGGGATAATTCTGAGATGAACACATGCTGGATTTGCAAGARAAAGGGAAAGCAGCCTGTCTTATGCTTGGAGCTGGGAGATCTGCCCCTGGTATTCAGGCCATTATTCCCAGGAYCAAAGGGGCATGCAAACAACAGTCTCAGGGGCAGAGACCAAGAGCCCATGTCACATGGCCAGGGTCAAGCTGAGCACCAGAGCAGTGYTGGCACAGATAACAGGCATGTAATTGTCTTTGTCAGCCAGAACAGTTGTTGGGCTGTAAACCAACACAGCTCATTAAAAGCCACAGTCACAAGATAGAAAGCCATGGGCATGGCTGCTACTGTACCTTGAACCCAAAAGGCCAGTGCACAAGGTAGAGATCCAGATAATCCAGCTTCAAGTCTGCAAGAGTCTTCTGGCAGGCTCCCTTCACCAGAGACTTCTCATGAAAGGTGCACCACAGCTGGAGAGAAAAMAATGAGGCACACTGAGACTTCCTGGGTTAAAGCTCTCATTCTCCTGCACAGCACGGGAATGCTCCCTGTGTTTTGGAATGAGATGGGGAATGAGGCCATCCCAGTGCTCTCCAGATGCAGTAAGGTCTGGGATGGGCCTGGCCATGACACGGAATGCAGCACGGGCAGTGGCAGCACAGGAAACATGAAAAYAGTATCAGGAATTACCTCATTTACATTACAGGCTTCTCCAATGCTACAGCATAAAGCTACTTTTGGTTCCTACTGCAAAAACATCCCAGATAAAGCCAGTTTATTCATAACCCACGACCATCTCATACCTTACTGACGACGAAGAGGTCCTCCCGTTTCACAACMCCTTCCTTGATTTTCCGCTGGATCCCGTCCCCAACCTCCTTCTCATTCTGGTACACATAGGCGCAGTCGAAGTGGCGGTACCCGGCATCGATGGCAGCCATCACTGCCGCTGTTACCTTACCTGGGGGGGACTAAAAACGGCAGGACATGTCTCAGTGTGGGATTCTCACGTGCCGTCCCCTCCCGCAGCACGGCCGGGGGGTGCCCGCGTTACCTTCCATGTGCCGAGCCCCATGAGGGGCGCGCTGGCGGCAGCCCCGAGGCGCACGGACCGCGCCATCGCCGCCATGGCCGCTGTGCCCGTGCCGGGCCCGCCCCGCGCCCGCAGCCAATCAGCGCCCCGCCCTGCTCTGCGCGCGGCGGCCGCAGCCAATGGGAGCGGCCCATGGTGGGTACGGCGGCGGGGGCTGTGTGAGGGGCGGGCTGAGCGCGCCTCGACCTTTCCCCCTGGAAAATGGTGAAATTCCTTATGGATGGATAAGGCTGAGCGCAGGTGTGTCCCGTTCGGCTGCTTTTCCTGCACGGATCAGCTCCTGCGACGCCCTGTCCCTGTGCCGTGTCCTGTCCGTGCGTATCTCACTTGTGCCATGTCCCGGGGTGTTCTGGCASCCTCTCGGTTCCCTGAGAGAGACACGGTTTCCTTCAAAGGCACTTTGGCCCAGGATTGTCATCGGTAAAGGCCGGGGGTGCCCCTAAAAGCGTCAATAAACGAGTCCCAGGGTAGGARGCCCCTGATGCAGAGAAGTTAGAAGTTATGGGATAACTTGTATATATTACTAACTGCTTGCTAGACAGTACTGTCTTGTTAGACAGTACTAACTGCTTGCTAGCCAGTATATATCACTAACTGGGATGAGAGGAGATCCTTCAAGTGCTCCATAATGGCATATTAGGGCTGCCTGAGAGGCTTTGCTGTTTGCTTGTACTTGGRTAATTGATTCAGGTACAAGCATACATCTGAAGTATGTACAATARTACATTTTTCTTTGGATGCCTCTCCCACAGCAGATGCCCAAGATCTTTTCATTTCATTTAGCTGAAGGCTGACAAGATAATTAGTTTTCCCTTTAATCTWTCTCCAGTTTTCTGTCAGTGCTATCAGCTGTTCTCTGCAGGATGTGGTATTGCAGTTTAATCACATGAGAGTTACACACTCGAGAGCTTATCTTTCRTCCTTTTTGGGATTCCTTCTCCGTAGATCTCTGAGTATGCTCAGCTTCTTGGTCTGGTTCAGTACTTAGAGAAGTCAGTGAAAAATRCAAAATGACACATTTTGCCTTGTCTGCAATGCATTTTCTCAAGGGAGCTCAGAGACCCCTGAAATGCCAGTTTGCTCTTGATTTCCTTTGTATTCCCAAGGCCCTCAAACTTGTGATGCTGTGCTGGTATTTGTGTGAGCAGTGTCATGTTCAGAAGCAGTCAGTGGTGAGTGGGTTTCAACGCTTTGCATAGGAACTGCCAGAATCCATCAGATTTTTTGTACTGGAGCAGCACCAAGGTGGACTGGTGCTGTCAGAGAGCTGTGTTCTATGGAAGCCTGCAAAGCCTGGCTGTGTGGCTAATGGGATGGGATCTCCTCTTAAGGATGGCAGAACCCTGCAGTGTTTGTAATCATTCTTAGCCTGCCTTTCTGTGGAGAAGTTTCAAACCCTCAYATTCTTGCAGCAAGGAGCTGGGTAGTGTGTGATGACAAACAGAGGCTTGGTGGAGAGCATGGCTGAGACATATCCTTCCTCTCACATACTTTGAGATTATTGTGTTGCTTCCTCTGAATTTGTGTTCTCTTGTGAAGGTTGGTGCTTAGTTTTCCCAAGGCATGCCTTGAGAGATACTTTGGTCTTTTAAGTGAGGATTTTGAGCTGAAGGTTTTGTGTTTTGCTTTGTTTGTGTCTGTTRGTGTGAGACCTTGCTCACATCATGCCAATACATGGGAGCTGTCAGTTGTTTGTGTCCTGAAGATGTGGCTGTGGTGACTGGGTGATGGCAAGGCCTTTGGAAAAAGAGTTGGAACAGAATGTTTATTTTGCTAAATGATGTGCATTGGTTCAACTTCCAGGTGCTTGTTAAGGCAGGAATAAGACAGGTGGATAGAGATTTAATCTAAGATGCTGGCCTCTTTTTTTTCACTGAGTTCAGATCAAGCCAGGTACATACTCTGAAGTTCCACCACTCTCTCTGTGTCTTCTCAAGAGTTATTTTCAAGACTTTCACCTTTGATAATTCCTGTATTTGTCTACTAATCTGATGAGCTGACAAAACTGTGTGATTAAAATGAAACTCCAGAAATGAAACTATGAGCACATACCCTAAGCATACAGCTCCTGTTGGTTCATCCCTCACACCTAGGCCTGATTCAGCAAGTGGATGTGGATAAACCCTGCTGATGTTTCCTTTGTTTCAGGAGATGTATGTGCCCTGGGATGAGAGGAGACCCTTCAGGTGGGAGCAGGAGATCTCTTTGGCATGGGTGAGATGAGGCAGTAGGTGCTGTGCTTAGCCAAGGAAAATCTGGGTAAATTTATGACTCTGCCCACAGAGGGGGCTCCATTGTTAGAGCAAGTGATTGATCAGAAGCTTTCAAGGGAAAAAGGGTGATTGTGAAAGGTGGTAGAAATTCCTACATCTTTGACTCCCATGCCTTATTAAATGTTGTGCCCTTACTGATTCAGTAATTTTTTCACAGGACAGATGTCTTAMCTCTTTGAGGGCTTTATGGGCTGCTTCCTTTGGGAAGCTGGGAAGCACATGGTCTTGGATTATACCTTGGTCTTGGATTWTACCTTTGTGAACTGAGAGTGGAGATTTTGGGGAGAAAATCCTCAAGTGTCAGCAGTTTGGCTCCGCACTGAGGGGCTGAGGCTCCTGTGGCAGCAGACACCCGGGTTGAGAGATGGCTGAAATGTCCCCAGCACTGCCAGGGCTGTGCCTGGGCTCTGGGCTATCGCTGGTGAGGAGGGGACAATGTCGGTGCTGAGTGTCCCAGGCAGGATCTGTGTYCCTGCAGTGCAGGTGAGTGCAGCCYACCCTGCTGTGTCTTTCGTTGGAAGGGTTTTGGGTTTTTCCTACAGTAGACAGAAGACTTTCAGCCAATTAGGTTTTTGCATTTTAAAGTCAATTTTATTTAAAATATAGGACACTTCTGATTAAATAGTAGATCTATGGGGTGTTTTTTGTAGTTTGTCAACATCTAGTTTCTACTGAAGCAAGACTGAAGGCAATCACTGAATGATGGTGCTGCAGAAATTTTTGCGCTGTAGAAAATACTCTTTCCGACTTCCAAGAAACCAAATTTCATGCGATAGAYATCCCATATCTTCACTGGCAGCATCACAGCAGATGCAATAAGAAGATACGATAAATAGCTCAACATTAGAGCAGAGGCACATGAGATAGCAGTGGTCTGATGAAGTCCATATTACAAGCACCTTCAGTATTCTGCATGGAAAGGGTATTCCTTGAGATTTCTGGATCTGAAAGAAATGAAAGTGAGAATGTTATTTTCACATGTGGTCTAAATGTTATGCAGAGATGCATTGGGTGTGTGAAGGAGCCACAAGGGAACATCTGCATCGTGTAGTTACAGCAAGAATAGGTGGAGATATATGTCCTTTCTCTCATACAGACAGACATGAATTGAACATCCAGAATCCTTTTTTTTTTGTAGTTCAAGTTACAGAGAGTTTCTCCTGAGAACTGAATTCAAAATGAGAATGTATTTTTAATTGTTTTGTTTTGTTTTGTTTTGTTTTTAAAATGAAAAGATGAAGCCCTCCCCTGAAAATGTTTTTTTGGGGACACACCAGTTGGAGTTTGAGTTGGTGTGATATTTAAATAAATTGAATTTCATGTTACCTAGTAGCTGTGCCACAAAATTCCTTGTAAAGAATATTCAAAATTTAAGATTTAGAAGAAAACAAGCAGTGTCACTTACACRTTCATTTCACAGATCCTCCAGTTTCTGTTGAAGGTCATAATAGTTGCCATCTCTTCTTTAGTCAGTTCAAAGTCAAACACCTAAAAAGAGAAACAGCTGGAAATCACCTGCTTGAACAAACTGAACTGAARGACAAGATTAGAGTGCAGCTCCACACTGGAGGGTCCATTTTCACTCCTGGACCACTGAATTAAGAYGTAGAAGAACAACTTGTTTTCTGGCACAGGGACCATTTTATGAACATTGCTTATTCTAGATAAGATGTYTCTGACATGTTCCTGTGTGGGGATGCCAAGCAAGCTATGCCTGCTCATTCATCCACAAGCCACGGAATAGGGAATGTCACGCAAGGGTTGTTCATTAAACTCTCAAAAAGCAGGCTTAACACTCAGTAAAGTGTGGTTAAGCATAAAAAAGGAGGAAGCACAGTCCTCCTGCAGCAGGAGGACATGGCAAGGATGAGAGAGGATCACTGCTTGCTCTGCAAGGAGAAGCCAAGCCAACCCTGAAGGGCAGCACCCAGCTCTCTCCTAATTCCTCACCTGGAAGTTCTCCACAATGCGCTGTGGGGTRACAGACTTAGGAATCACAATYACATTTCTCTGCATCTGGAAGCGAAGGAGAACCTGCAAGAACARARAACTGTKTCAGATAGAGAATGGTTTCTGCTCTGGAGGAAGTACAGCTGTTTTCCCTAAGTTATACCTGCTTCTGCTGACCTGCATTTCAAATCATCCCTGTYCCTGCAGCCCTGGCTGTACTGCCTGGAGAATAAGAGGGAAGTGGTGGAGCCTCACAGGAAACCTCCCTTCCCACCCAGGTTTTGGATAGTCAGTTCCTTTTCTCTGTGCCTGAGATTTTAGCAGTGTCTGCAAGGGTTTCAATCTCTGCAAGAGGACTTGAGAGGGGAAGTAACATCTGAAAGAAGGTCAAGAATCCTTTTGAGGGCCAAAGAGGTAATAGTAGTGTGCCTTGGAGATAATATAAAAAAAAAAAAAAATCTGCATTGTTAGGGAAAAATCAGASGAGTGCCACAATTCATGGGGAAGGGATAGAGGTTCTACCCCTTTCTGGAGCTGTTTTCCTAAACTGGGAAGGAGTACCCACCTGTGCTGGGGTTTTGTTATGCTTGGCTGCAATCTCTTTGATCCTGGGGTCATCCAGAAGGGAAGGATCCCCKGGCTTAGCCCTGCACAGAGAAATCAAATCAATGGCAAGAAACATCCATAGCAAGATTCCACTTAGCAACAGAGATCTGTGTCTAAAGAAAGAAATTAGTGGTGCATGTGTGGTGTCAGTACTTCAGTCGTGATCCATGCCAACTCCCTGGCAGATGGCAAAGCAATCTTACCATGGTCTGTCAGGAGAGCCAAGGGGACAGTATGCGGTCACAGCCAGCCCTTTGGACTGACAGTACTTGATCAGTTTTTCCTGGGTGAGGTATGGATGAGATTCAATCTGCCAACACAAAAACAAAGGGTCTGATAGTGGCAGAACTGTTGCAATATTGTTGTGCTCCAATAAATTATCTCCTTATCCAATTAGATGCTGCCTTTTCCCCCAGATTGACAGTGGCCTACCTGGTAATATCCTTCCTTAGTATTAAAACTACCTCTTTTTAYACAAAGTTGTCTCRGTTTGAGACAATGTTTTCAGAGAAAAAAYRTTACAGAGTAAATGTTTCCTCTGWAGTGAAAAATCTGRTMATTTTTTYCCACCAATATGAAATAGATGTTTGGGCAAAAGTRAAGAGAAAAAAAAGTAGTTTATTAACAAAACACAGTGYCCAAAGGACACAGATAAAAAGTAACTGTTAGATATTTAAAAGTCCAGGAACRCATGYGCCCYCTCCCCGCCACAGCTGCTCAGCTAGTGGTGTGGAGAAAGATGGCGCAGCTCATATCCCCAGGAAAAAAAGAAACAAAAGAARAAAGTCCATGTGGCTGCTCAGGCAACAGTGGCAACCTGGTGTCWGTCCTCAGATGAGATGGAGCAGTGCGGTTTCWCCYGCCAGCCGCCAAATTGCTCCAGAAGGAAAATYACAGGAGCCGCAGAGGGGATGGCAGTCCAGGGAGAGCTGTTTGCCCAAGCTAACAARCCCGAGCTAGCTAAACGGCAACAATGTAACTGCCCTGCACAGAGCGAGCAGGACTCCGGCAGCGCGGATCTGAGGTCCAAAAGCCCGSGGCAGCGTGGCAGCCACAGCTTTTAAGGGYCTGCACTGCCTTCCCAGCTGCCCCTGCCCCTTTTTCYGGGTCAGATTTAAAGGCACAGACACCTTTTGGGCATACAAGCTGACAGAATATAGGAATACAGGATTGGCACAAAATCAACCCAARACATAAGGGCTTTTACAGTTTTTGCTGTTGGGTTTTTACGAAGCTCCTTTCTGGATTCTTTATTATTCCAGAAAGACCATTTTCAGGGAAATGCTCCAACATCCTTAAATAGTGGCTCAGCAAGATTAAAAAAAAAACCAAAAAGTATCCGAGTGCTGTACTCTGAAATATCTATAAAGAGGTGTTTAAAGTACATGCTGTGTCTAGTTTGTTTGCTCTTTTCCCATCTCCTCATTTAACTGTAATCAGATATTTATAATCCTAGAAAACAAGTCACCTGCMGTCACTTTGCAGCTCACCTGGACATTTGCAGGYTTGTATTTCAGTCCTGGCTTGTTAAGGATTCTTTCAATCTGGTCATGATTAAAGTTGGAGAATCCAATGGCTTTTACCAGTCCACAGTCCACCAGCTCTTCCATGGCCTAACACAAATAGGAGCAAAATCATCATACAGTGTGCAAGGCAGGTCATGATAATGTTCTTCCTGATGAGTATTGTTTCCCATCACGAGCAACACAAAATAACTGTTTAGTGTTGCAAAGGTCTCTGAGGGAAAAGCAGGTGCTGGCAATTAATGCCATCTCATCCAAGCACAAATTCTTATTCCCTGAATATGTGGAAATTCACACTGGGTTACATGAGGATGATGACAYTCAGTAATCCACTACTGTGCAAGCACTGGAGGGCTGTACCACAACCAGTGGGCAAGTTCTCAACCCTAAAATGTCTTTATTTCTGTGAGATTTGTTTGAGTGATTCAAGAAAGACACAAGAACTGTGATGAAAACAATTGTACAATTGTTATTGTTAYGCAATGAAACTTTTCTAACTTCATGCTGGTGTGCAGCTCCACTTGGAGTGCTTGTCTAGGTTCTTGTGCATCAAGCAGCCAAGGAAGACACTGGGAGAATAGAAATAAGTAGGAAAGGATTAAGCATACCCGTTTTGGAAAGCTACTTTATACTACCTTATGTTCCTTGCAACTAATTTAATATGAATGAGACTGCTGAAGGTAATGCAAGCTTGGAAAAGACTGATGAGGATGCGTCTCTTCTGCTCTGGCTGAACTTACCTCCCATGTCTCTAGAAGATTGCTGTTGCTGGGTATAGCCATGCCTTTGTCATCTTTGGGAAACAGCTCCTCTCCTGCCTGTCAGAGAGAGAGAGAGAAAGCTTGAAATAATCTCTGTTGAGACAGTAGCTATGTAAAATAACCAACACAGAAGGAGCTAAACCTAATACCGCGTAAAAAAAAAATCAAGTAACTCTCACCAAAACTTAATTAATTTTTCAGTCTCATTCTTAGTTCATACATTTTTGTCACCTACTATCCCAATGAAGACAGAGTTTTTATTGGGCTCTCTGAAGTGATGATCCRTAAAGTGCATGCAGAGAAGTGATTAACTTATAGAACAATATTCTGGGGCCTTATATGTGTTCACTTCAAGTATTGTTCCATTTTGCACATTTAGGAATAACAGTGTCTTTAGTTGTTTTTAAAAAGGTGTATGGAGGATTGACTTTGGCCCTATGAACATATACATTTATACTGGAGTCCATCTGCTGCCAGATGTCCTATGGAGAGGCTCCCTGTTGAAATTGCTCTATTAGGAAAATTAGAACAGCCTGTAACTAGACAGTATGCCATGGTATTTTGAATGATTGAAATTTTCTAAGATATTGTCTATTTACATTTGACAGTTTTGTCYGCATAAAGCTAACTAAAACAATATGGAGGGAATGAAGTGGAGTTGAACTTAAAAGCCTAAAGTAGAATAGAGAATTTTATCTGGTTGTAGCAGAAAGGAGAGTCTAAGGTTCTGTGTGTGTATGTGTAATATATACACAAACTGACATAAATCCTTTGAAGTGCATAAAACTTGATGCTGAAAAGCCTCATCTTTTGAAATCCAAGTCTGGCAAACAAGACTAAGGCTCCTATGGGCAGGCAAGGTCAACTCAATCTGTACTGTATTAAGGACTTGGTGATTAAAGTGAGGAATGGGWAACAGAATTTTTTATTTTTACCCTGTGATGCTATTACCTACAGATGAAAGAATTTCTGTCAGGCAGCAAACTGCACCCCTCAGTCCCACATGAGGTAATTTTCAGAAGAGCATGCTTTGGATTTGTAAAGGAATGGGGAAGAGGCATAGCTTGTGCTTGCAGTCAGAGGCCTGACCTTAGTGCTGTGTCTGCCTCCCCATTATCAAGAGGGCAGAGGACGCTGTGCAGGCAGCGCTCTYGGGGCAGAGATCAGGAGCCTGGCTGATGTGGGCAGAGGAAAGCAGGATGGGCAGCACTGGAGCAGTGCTGGCACAACAGTGTTGGCACTTCTGAGGAGCTCTYCCAGGAGTGGATACCAAGGGTACTGCTGCTACTGTACCTTGTAGCCAAAAGGCCAGTGGATGAGGTAGAGATCCAGGTAATCCAGTTTCAGGGCAGCAAGGGTCTTCTGGCAGCCTCCCTTCACCAGATGCTTCTCATGAAAGGTGCACCACAGCTGGAGASAAAAACAAGGCAAGTTGTGACYTTCTGGTTAAAGCTCTCRGGTGCTCTCCTGTACAGCACAGGAATTCTCCCTGCTCTTTGGAAGGAGATGTGGAATGAGGCCATCCTAGTGCTCTTCAGATGTGGCAAGGTCTGGAATGGGACTGTCCTGTGACTCTGGGGACAGTGTGTACCAGCCTCTGGTTCCATTACTTCACATATCATTTGGGCTACCCCGTTTCCCCCAGGGTCTGCCTTGGCAAATGGGGCTTTCAGAGGCAGACATGTATCTGTTGTTCCTGAGCATGYGCAGAACTCCTGCACTCAATGTAGCAGGCAAAGCCAAGAAAATATAACACAGGCCACAAAGAATAGTTGGCACCAACCTTTACTTAGATAAGAAGTAACTTCAGATTCCAGCTAAGTAGCCTGATTTTTGTAATAAGAAAGAGAATCTACCAGCCACACCTTCCCTGGGATATGTACTGAGCAGATTACAGTGTCCCAGGGTGCCCAGAATGACATCTCCAAGGATCCCAAGGGACACCCCTTTGGCAATTGTCTGAGCCCTGCTGCTGGAACAGGCACCAGGCAGTGCCTGTGYGCTCTGCTTTGCTTTAGCAGTCAGTGAGGTGCCATTAGCAAGCTGGTTCTGCCTCTGTATCACTCCTTTACACTGAATGGTCTCTGACCTCTGCATCACGTGTTTCTACCTTGCTTGGTGCAACCTGACCTACCATGCCTTTTCCTGCTTCCCTTCTTTTGCACCAATCAGTCTGCAGTTGGCATCCTCTCATCCATYCCCCAGGACTACTGGGTCTCCACTGCGGTGTGCAGACACTGTATTCTTCCTATCTCTCCATACAGAATGGGGTGAAGTTGTAAGCTTGTGTCAGGAGTGACGTGAATGCTGTTACGGTTTGCTTTATCCTACAGCATAAAGTACTTAAGCTTCCTGCTAGGAAAATACTCCAGACAAAGCATTGCCCTACCTGTGCTCCAGGCTGCAGGATCATTGAATCCTTACCTTGCTGACAACAAAGAGGTCTTCTCGTTTCACAACACCTTCTTTGATTTTCTGCTGGATCCCTTCCCCAACTTCATGCTCATTCATGTATGCATAGGCACAGTCAAAGTGGCGGTACCCGGCATCGATGGCAGCCATCACTGCAGCTTTTACTTGCCCAGCTGGGGACTGAAAAGAATGCATAAATATTAAGAATCTCAATCAGAACTTGTTAAAGACCTGTATCCTAACAAAATAAAACCAGGGAAACCATGTTCCCCATCCCCCGCCCCAATCCCCCCATATGCAGGTTGGTGGTTTTTTTTTCCTTTCCTTTTTTTCCTTCCTTTATTTCTTGCAGTGGTAAACATGGACTCCGGGGTTGGAACTCGACTGCCAGCCATTTATGTATGGCTCCACTCCAACTCCCGCTCCATCCAACAGCCAGGACAGCCTTCCAGAGCCAGACCAGGGGCAGTGAAGTTTGTGCCAGGGAGCTCTGCAGTACAGGTACTTCTCYCTGAAGCTCTTACCTTCCAGGTGCCCAGTCCCACGAGGGGCATTTTGGCAGTGGTGTTTAGCTGCACGTAGGTTGCCATGTCCTGCACTCCTGGTTGCCTTCCTGCAGCTGCCTCTTGCCCGTCTGGTTTRATAGTGCCTGGTCAATGGCCAGGGCAGGGGACGATGCTGGGGCGTCACTGGTACTCTGGGTCCTCCCATATCTGGCAAACAAGGCGTGGCTTTTTCTCTGTATGCTCAGCTCACAAAGGTTAATGTGAAAGCTAAAATCAATTAAAAATTGAGGAGGTGATTACTTGGGGCGTGGCAGTGGTGTGCCCTGCTGACCTTTCCCTTATCAAAAGATAAGGGCTGAGGGTGGGTGTGTCCCAGTCTGGCTGGTGTTTCTGCAGGGATCAGCTCCTGCAGTGCCCTGTTCAAGTCCCAGGGATTGTCCGTGTGTCTGTCTTGTGCCATGTGCTGGGGTGTTCTGGCACCCTGTTGCAGTTTCCCCCATCGGATCCCYCAGAGAGACACAGTTTCATTCAGGAGGACTATGGCCCAGGATTGTCACTGGTAAAGCCTGGGGGTGTCCTGAAATGTGTCAATAAACAAATCCCAGGCTAGRGTGTGATCCAGAGGCCCCTCACTCCCAGCTCACGAGCTGTTCCTTCACTGCTGGGTGTATGATTGTTGGCTGAGCCGTGGGCTGGGAAAGGGCTGAGCCCTTGGCTGGAGCAGTGTCCCCCTCACACAGTGATGGTGGCCTGGACTGGTGTCCCCTTGACAGAGCCTTGTCACCTTGTGTGCTGRTGAAGTGAGACAGYTGGAGAAACCTCAYTTTTGCAGAGGAAGAAGTAGTTSCTTTTCACCCYTCCAAAGGTRTTGGTATCCACTTCTGTGGCTGGAAGGTGAGGCACAGTGTACAACAGGAAAGTTTACACAGGGCAGGCGTGGCAAAGGTCAGAAGTGAAATTAAGTCCCTGTTTTTTCCCAGACTAACCAGGATCATCCCTCCGGTAAAATTCCAGAGCTGCCTTTCCTTTTTTTTTTTTCTTCATTTTCTTCGCTTCTCCTTGTTTTATTATTGTGGCAGGCATATCTCTGTGGCTTGTTTTTTAGCAGCCAGTGCATTCATAGAGGAGTTTCATAATGCAGAGACGTGAGTAGAAGAGAAAAGGTGTTGTGTAGCTTCATGGTCATCGTGGATGCCATATGTAATTACTGCCAGAAACTAACACCCTTTAGCAYAAAACCAGAGCATGATCCAGGGTGGATGGGTGTGTTCTAATGTTTGCACACACGGGGGCAGAGTTAAACTTGTGTGTGGCTGCTGCTTTTGCATTTCTTCAGTAACATCTCAGCAGATTGAATTGCATATTTTGTAATTACAAGAAGGTGGAAATCTCTTTTCCTCTGCCTCTTTTCCTAAAAAAGGATAAGAAGAGAGAAAAAAAAGGTAGCTTAGATTTGTAATAAATAAATACTTTAAAATTCTCTGATAGTGACTCAAAAGATACAAACCTGATTTTAAAGAGGAAATTAGCCACTTATTACTAGCAGACCAGTTTTTCTGAATTGCCTGATCCTTAAATTAAAGACACAAAAAAAGGGTTTCCTTTTCCCTGCGGTCTTTTTGCACTGAAAGGTATGAGACAGTCTCCTGCTTCAACTCACCACTGTGTCTCAAAGATGTCCCAAAAGTTTTACTTTTAAGCATTGTTATGCATGTGGGAGGGAAATCAAGTCTGTTTTCTCCCTCCTGTTACAGGGCCATTTTCAATGTGTTGTATGTCCCAGGGGAAACAGACTGTCTAAAATTCAGCATGGTTGGATTTACTTTGACTGGGAGCACTGTCATGTGCTCAGCACCTCCAGCTTCCTTTTGGCGACTGTGGGCCATGTGCAGCTGGTAGGRAGCAGGCAGTATGTGCTGTACAGACTTTGGGTTGTTCACTACACATTTGCTGCCAGAGGCTGCTCCCATTGGGAGCTTTGCCATGRATTCAATAGCATGGAAAGGAGCCATTTGTTACAATGTCTGCCAGCAGTGCSAGCTCTTTGTTCGGCCAGCGTAGTACCAAACTCTGTCTAACCTATTTTGTATGCTGGCCCCGTGTCCTCGGAATATCTGGATGTTGTGATTTCAACACTGTTCGTTTTCCAGTACTTCATCCCCAGAGATCCTCTCTGTTCCCCTTGCAGCTCACAATGCAGCAGTGGGGGTGGCTTGGGCAAAATGAGGAGAGAAAATTCCTCAGGATTTGCATCCCAGTGTTGGCCTGGGCGCACTGGTCTCTGGGGGACAAACCAAGAACAGCAAGAAGAATAAGAACTGACCTTTTCCTTTTCCCAAGCACATTCCCCACTCTGTAGTGTAAACCAGTGATATAATGTAAAGTGGTGGGATATCATGTAAGGCTGAGAAAGTAACTGCTAAAATTTTTTTATGGTCTTTTTATACTTTTGCTCACTCACTGTATGTCACCCTGTAGAGCAAGWTGGGCTTCCCAGGGAAAGTAGTCAGTCTGACATTTCCACAGCACTGGGCACATAAGAAGCCTGAAGTAGTATATTTTGGTTTCTGAGAAAAACCCAGCCAATATGGTTCTGAGGCTGAAGTAACTGTTACAGAGGAAAGAGGAAGATCTGGGGATCCTCAAGTTGAAACTACCCTGAATAGGAACCTTTTAACTTAGCAGAAATGCAAGAAGCTACAGTTTTTGAGAACTACATCAAATAGGGTGGTTGTTTGGTGATGAAGAGAAGTATAACTTGCCAACAAGTGGGTACCTGAGGGTAAACAGGACAGGAAGAGATAGTTAATAAAACTGTCAGGCAGTGGGGAGCAGACCCCTGGAGGCAGTGGAGGAGGTGTTGACAGCAGACAAGGGCAAAACAAGGCATGTTCACATTATTCCCAAGGAATAATATGGTTACATTTTCTTCTGAGTCTTGTCTACATGAAAATCTTGTACTATTTCATTATGTTGATGCAAATGCCTTTTTTGGACACATATCAGTTGAAGTATGTAGTGTATTGATTCAGCTTAAATCCCTTCCTTACCACTTCAGTWAAAACAGCAGAAAGCAGTTGAGCAAAATAATATCCATCCTCCCACAGACTTCACATTAATTTAACAGCATCAGTTTTTGAACTGGCTTAATTAAACTGCAACTTCCTTGCACAGGCCAGGACTGGTTGCTGCGGAAGCAGAAACATGTCAGGGTCTTTTGTGTCTTTTCTTTAACTTGTAAAAAGAAACCTTCTGATCAGACTGGAAAGGTGGATTAATGTGGGACTGGCAAATACTTTGCTTGATTTTTCTCTGGGTCAAGCCCTGTAAAAAGAGCAGGTACCAAAGCATCAACAAAGACCAAACCTTCTCAGTTGTTTCTGTGGGAGAATGGGCTTTGTAATGAGGGAATAAGCAACTTCAGTTAAATAAGAAGAACACYATGGCCAGCATCCAAACCCATCTCATCTATAAATGGAAAATTTGTCCATCCCAGACCTGCATTCCTGTCCAGTTCTGTTGGTAGGCATGGTTATTGCAGGAATGAGACTTTCCTTTCTCATATATGCAGACTGTAGGTTTTCCAAAGCTCATCACTTTAGAGAACTGTCGACTATTTTTCTTGCCAAATGGAGGCTCTTGTTCTTGTGGGAAAATATTTTCCTGCTCCCTTTCAAGTTTCAGCAGTAAGCTGTCTAGCTTTGACAAGGAAAGGGATGCTTTGAATGTCCTAAGAGCGGAGGAAGAGATAYGTTCTCCTTTTTTAAAAAACAAAAGTTTTGAAAAGCGTTGAAAATATTTTTCTCATGTTTGGAAAACAAAACAAAATGAAGCACACAGTAAAACCAATGAGTTCATCTTGATTAGGAACAACATGAAAAATACCACTGTGRAATCTGTACAGTGAGAGCTGAATAGAAATTGGTTTATAACCTGAACTCATACACAACGAGTGTATCTGGGGAGCCAGATTGTTTTAGCTGACTGAGTTACTCAAGTTTTGTAAATAACAGAGCAGAACCTCTTGTGGTCTTTCTCCCATCACATGGCAAGACCTGTGGGTGATATGAACATTTAGTGGGGATGTGGAAGGTCCAGTGATTCTCACAGAAGTTCAGCTCATTGTCCTTCACTAATCCATGGCTGTGCAGTTACTGTGTTGTGTGCTCCAGGTCTGCTCTAGGGTTGGTTAGATGGGCTTCTGCACTCTCAGCATCTGTCATTTCCAGAAGGAATTCAGGAGGTGCAGGGAGGAGGCCATGAGCTGCACATTGTTCTAGCACAAGGCTTCCAGCAATTGTCTTGGCTGTGGACTCTGCTTGTCCTGCAACCAGAACGTGTGTGGAATCCCAGAGGCTGGGAAGAGATGACAGCCAGGAGTGGGTTGCTGCAGAAGCCAGGAAAATCAGTTTGGCCTGTTTGTGCTCCCAGCTGGCCCACAAAATAGATGTAATCTATGAGAACAGATAAAGTGGCTTCTTCATTTCTGAAGTTTCTATATCCTTAGAAGGACAAGAGGCCTTAGTCCAGTAGCATGGGTCKCATTTYATGGTRTCTKTCTAGAGATACTCTACCCTTCCCCMAAAAGAAGRCAGGTAGTTTGTTGCCAGATTTATCTACTTCTGCAAATATTTTCCTAAGAAGGGCAGGACTGTACAGCCCATTTTTTTTYCTCACAGATCTGTTATGGCTCAGTTCCTTGTTTGATACATTACGCATCTAGACTTAAATAGAGAAAAATAAGGACAGCAATACTGAATGTTCAAACAAGTACYTGAACTCTCCAAAATGGTAACTGTTGGAGAGTGCCTTGGGAGTGGAAAAGTCTCTTTCTTTCTAAGATGAAAAGGAGATAATGAATTACAGGCAATTTTTTTTTTTCAGGCCCTTCTGTAGAGAGCTAGATCTGATGACGAAATAAAGGAATAGTCTGATTCTGAATAAAAAAACAGTGGCAGCCAAGCACAAAATTATTTAAGTGAATGRTTTTCCATGTAAGTAAAACAGATGAAAATTTGAGTTGAAAAACTCTGGGATGTTGRATATTCTGACTCCCCATCATGCATGATTTATTAGTCCTGTCTGTSTTTCCACTCATGCTCCTTTTTTTGTTAAAAAAATGAGACAGAGTGGAGGGGGAGGAAGCATGAATTAAGGTGTGATACACAGCTATTTATTTAGCAGCCTAACTCCTAAAGTTTCCTGGGAAGCAATCCTACAGAAGTGAGGCCTGATTTTGTTGCTTTTYAAGGTCAGGAGCAACCCTACTGAATTCTGAGAAGTTACAATGAAGTAGAAGAACAGTGTGACTCAATCTTTCTCTTAATATTATCGAATCATGACACACAGGACAGATTCTTTATATAGGAAACTAATTTTTGTGCTGCATTCAAAACCAAATTAAACCTCAGCCAGTCTTGTTTTGTAAACTGGTATGATGCAAGAGAGCCACATACCATGGACAGAAACACAAGAAGCACCAGAAACATCTTTAAGACTTGTAGAGTGTTTGTGAGAAAACAAACACCACAAATACAGAGATCACATCAATAAGGTCTTGGTTAACCCAGGTTCATTGTAACACAGAAGTAAAAAACTTTAGAGCAGTGGTTTTTTTTTTTGAGGTGAAGCATTAATTTTTCATGGAAAGACATGAACACACATGAACTAGAGTATGTGTGGTGTGTGTTTGTTGTTCTCACCATTCTCTGCAATGACACTGAAGTTCCCATTTTACCCTTTTGGTTGTATTTGCCCAGATTGTTATGTGCTGTCATCATGCTCATGTCATGCGTGTCTGTCATCATGACATGCATCATCCAGTCTGTTTTCAAAGTAACTTATCGTGGCTAGACACCACCCTGCTGCTTTCTTTTTTTCAAAGGCACTTTTAAATTATCTCTTCCCAGACAGTTTCTTACTGACGTCTGGTGTCTAGAGCACTTTGTTTATCATGGGGGGAAAAAAGGCAGATTCATAACAGGATTTTCTTTGCTTTTGATACTGGTACAATAAGTTAATTTATACAATATCGTGACTAGAAAACAGTGAAATGCTCCAAACCAAAATTTGAAATGTAAACCCCTCCAAATTTAAAAATGAACTTTGTAAATATTCAAATTATTTGTCTGGCTGTAGAAATGGGAAAACTTTTGATCGTGAGAAAGAATTTTGTTTTCCTGGCCRTTGACACCTTGTAAAACTTCTTTTAGAGGTGTTTTTGGAGATTAGAACTGTATCCATGAGGATTCCTTTAGAACATTGTGTTCCACACACTTTTCTCTATCTTCTGGGCACCTGTTGTGGGTAAGGTTCATTTGAAGATGACAACGTAATGGTTTTTAGGGCATAGAGAATATAAAATTTTCTCCCCATGTGTATGTTTTTAGGTTGGGATATGCAGAAAGAAAATRATTTTTTTGAGTTAATATTTCAGAAGAGCAGACAGAAGTCACCTTTTTTACTTCTGTAAAAGTGCCTAGCCATTGGGATTGCATAAAAAATTCAGTTCCCACCTCAGGTTTAGAATACAATGCCTCACAGAGCAACTTCCCTCCATCTGTTTTGCATATCATGAAGGCTTTTATGTATTTTCTTCTTCTTTCTCGTTCATTTATTTGGTATTAATAATTCAGAAAAACTTCTGCATTTRCTTAAAGACTATAGCTCTGATTCTGGTGACAAATGCAGGATTAGTTTAGGAGCTTGCACACTCGCCTTTTTTTTTTTTAACAGATTTTGCCTCCAAGCGATGGAATTAGAGAGAGATGGAGAGAGAAGAAAAAAAAAGGTAGAGTATTTTATTTTCTCTTCATTCGGACTTATACTTGTGGTTTTGACATAAAGAGAATATACTGAGATACTGAAGTTGTATATTGCCTCCATACCCAAACAGGATGAAGGCCCCACTGTATTAACACATGAGAGTAGCATTGTATTRAGCACAACAGTGCCTCRACTAATAAAACAAAAGGTGAAAAARGCCCCTTGCTMAGGAGYTCAAATTTTAATTGGCTGACTACTGGTGTTCAAGGTGTGCCTTGCTGCTCTGTCAGGTGCACCCCCAAGGTTTAGGTAATAAYAGGCTTGGTTTAAGATGTGGTGGTGTGATATGTTGACAGATAGGGGTAGGTGTGTGATGAAAAAATACCCACGCAAAGGTGTGCTTGAGCCAAGGAGATGTTGAGAAGCACTTGTGTGGGTACTGCAAGACGTGGTGAGTGGCTCCAGCAGAGAGAAGGAAGCCTGGCACGTCCTTGCCTGTGCTCCCTGCACTCTGATGGGAAAGGGTTTGTTTTCCTTGTGTTACAGACCAAGCTTAGATGGATAGAGTCGTATGAAGAGATGGATTTAGCCAGTCATTTTAGGATGTAGTTCTGAATCCTCAGGAGTCARTAAGGACRTTTTTCTCTGCACAGTGTGTTGTACTCACAGGTCTTTCTCCATACACATTTGTCTGCAGGTAAAAATGGGCCATCAGAATAGTTGCAGAAGAATGTGAGACAATAGCTGGAATAGCACACAAAGAAAAGACAGGATCTAGGTCTTCTGTGGGAGCTGGAGGTGTGTGGGGGGTGGGGGGCTGGAGGGGTAAATGTCAAATGTTGAAAATGCCCTGAATGGGGCTGTATCCAAGAAGAAGGTGAGGGAGGATTCCCTGGGCACACATCTCACATCTGGGGGGCAGAGAGAATGGACATGCTGCTGGCAGCATCTGAACATGGAAAGGAGTAAGGGAGAGTCTAGAAAAGGAGACATAAATTAAATTCATGCAGTAGGAAAACAGGAGATGTTTTAGAGAGAGGTTTTCAGAGTTACTGAAGAGTGCAAGGACTTGATTACAGAACTTTATTTTGAAGATGAAATTGTTAATGAAGATAGATCATACATCAAATAGTTCTAAACAAAGAACTCAGGGTTTTCTGGAAATTACAGTGTGTATGTCTGCAGTGCTTTGCGGCAAACACTGGRTTTGGCTTTGAACAAAGTAACTATTCTGTGAAAAAGTACCAAGGGCATAATCAGTGAAGAACGCTCCTGTTTGCCACGMTTTTAATCAATCATTAATCAGCCTTTCTTCTTTCCAGTTCTGTTTTCTTCTGTTTCTGCCTTGCTCAGCTCCAGGCCTTCATTCAGTGTGGTGCAGTTGCACTGGTGCCCTGGCGGAAGTTTATGTGTTGAAAAACAGAGTTTCCTGGACTAATTCTGCCACAAACATTCCAGCTAAATGCAACAGGCTGGAAGGGCTCCAGAGCAGAGACCCTGAAAAACACAGGCCAGCTGGTGTGAGAGATAATAGCTGCCAAGGGAGCCTCGATGTCTGCAAGAAGTCACGCACAGGGATATGGCTTTGACTCTTCTGTCCTTGGATAGTTTTAAATGTGAATCAAAGTCATTAGGGCATGTTTTTGCCATGCTAATAAAATGGTCTTGCTTAAAGACTAAAGGAGACAAAAATCTGTATTTAATGGCCATGGAGGTCCTGCATTGTGGCATGGGTTGCTGTCTACTCACTCACAGTTACAACTTCATATTGACATAGAATGTTTCTTTCTGTTAATTGTATTCTTAATGATTGACATACAGCCAAAGCACATAGTGCTGATGTTCAAGAACAGATATTTTTCCTTCTATCTCTAGGAACTTTGCTTCTTTTCCTTACAAAGATAACTGACCAGTTTGCCTGGAGGCAGTGCGACTGCAGGTGTGTGATCGTGCAGTGGCATGTGGGACCATTTCTCTCTACCAGTTTGGGCTGATGGGTGGCAAATCAAACTTTTCCACACAGTGAACTTGAGTATTGCTTTGATTACATAGGCTGGAATGGGTTTATACTGTAAGTTCTGGCTTAGACAAAATTGACAGAAATGAAAGGTAGTTGTTAATATTAAAATAGGTAGATGAGGTGGAAAGGATTTTATGTGTAACTGTTAAGTACAGTGCACATCCAATAAGAATATTCTGCAGAAGCAGCAGATTTTATTGTGGTTCTATGTTGAGGCATAGCTCTGTAAGGAAGGCATTGAAAATGTTCTCCCTGAGATGCAGAATGCTTTCTGGAGCTTCCCAAATRAATGAGGAACAAAGTACAGTAACCACCAAAGAGATGTAGGATGCTGCTCACCAACAGCCTGGCCACTCTTAACACACAGTSCTGTGAGCCTAGCAAAGCAGTATTTCATCTGGCTTAGCCTTCTTTCCCACTGACATTTYAGGATCTAATCTTTATAAATGTAAAATGAGACACCATTTCTTCTCACAGCACATCAGAGACATTATTTRAATACCTCTGCCCCAAATTTTCTTAAATTTACTCATGTTGCTTTTTCCAATCAGAACGGAATCCCCCATCTTTTATTTTCATGCACTGTTTTTTAACTTATTAAAAAGGGAAGATCACCTCTATCCCCTGTAGAGAGGATGACAGAGCACAATTGGTGTACATCCAGTTTATGCCCTCTAAGCTTTACCTTGTGACTGTTCAAGGGTAAGCATTTAGAGGAGAAAATGTGACTCTGATGGGGTATRAAAGATGTGCTCTGCTTCTTTTTTAAAATAAAAGCAGATCTATGGCAATAGAAGCAGTAAAGGACACCATTTTCCCACACCAGTTCTCTCATGTTTTTAGCCAGAGCTGCTCCATCCACTTGCTTTTAATTAATTTAGATTAAAATTACAGCCTGTGGGAATGATGGAGCTAGCATGATCATTTGAAAGACGCCCGTCTAATTTTTTTTCCCTGACGATTTCATTATGAGTAATGATATTTTGTACCCCTACTTTTCAGCAGAACCAAAASGCTCTAAAGCGGGAAGAAAAAGTGATCCCTGCCTGGGGAAACCCCCGTCTGACTGATCCTGTGCCTCGTCTCCTCAGCTCCTGGCAATGAGCAAGGGGGTGTTGGACGGGTGCCCGCGGCGCTGGTGCCGCGCTCCTGCCTCGGTAAGCGGAGGCTCGGGCAGCGGGGCGGGCAGGATCCAGCGGCTGCGGGCAGCCAGCGCCTTCCTTCGCCTCTTCCCTAAAGCGATCCCTCCCTCTCTCCCGCCGCCGTAGTGCCCACCCGGGCGGTGGGAAGGAGCGGGAGATGCTCCGGGGCCGAACTGAGGATCCCATCTGAGTTCGGCGGTCCGGGGGTGGTTTTGGAGGAAGCCAGAGACTTGGATGCCTCCGCTCGTGTTGTGCGCGGAGAAACGTTTCTCCGTTTCACAAATCGCCGCCTGCGTGCCCAGAACCGCGGGGGGCACCAGCATCTCCGCTGCGATCCCTAGTGGGCCTGCTGAGGGAGGCCGGGATTGCCGCGGGAGGAGGGGCGGGATGGCCGCGGGAGGAGGGGCGGGATGGCCGCGGGAGGAGGGGCGGGATGGCCGCGGGAGGAGGGGCGGGATGGCCGCGGGAGGAGGGGCGGGATGGCCGCGGGAGGAGGGGCGGGATGGCCGCGGGAGGAGGGGCGGGATGGCCGCGGGAGGAGGGGCGGGATGGCCGCGGGAGGAGGGGCGGGATGGCCGCGGGAGGAGGGGCGGGATGGCCGCGGGAGGAGGGGCGGGATGGCCGCGGCATCCCCGGTCCCGCTCGGGCACGGCGGCGCTGGGCTTGGCGCAGAGCTCGGCGCTCCCGTCCCCGCCGCGTCGCCGCCCCGCGCCGCGCTCATTGGCTGAGCGCCCTGCCCATCGCCCTGGCCAGCCAATCAGGCTGCGTCTCTCTCGCGGGCGCGGAGGCGCCGCGGCCTCAATAAGACGCGCGGTCCGCCCCTCACCCGGCCCGGCGGCGGCTCCGGCGCTCCCCGGGAGGCAGCGCGGCTTCAGCCCGGTAATTCCCGGGAGCCATGGACGGGCGCGAGTAGCGGCCGTGGGGGAGGGGGTGAAGCGGGCCTGGGCTCGGGGGAGCTCCCTCGGAAGGGCTGTCCTGGCTCTCCGGCTAGGGATGGTGGTGTTGTCCCCCGGGCAAGCGGCGGCTTCCCGAGGGGGCGGTGGCTCTGAGGCACCGCGTGCGTGCCCGTGGCTGTGTTTGCGTGCCCGTGGCTGTGTTTGCGTGCCCGTGGCTGTGTTTGCGTGCCCGTGGCTGTGTTTGCGTGCCCGTGGCTGTGTTTGCGTGCCCGTAGCTGTGTTTGTTTGTGTGCGGGTCGGTTTGTGTGCGGGTCGCCGCCCCGCGCTGGCAGCCGCGGGTGTTTGCGCGTGTCCGGGCGGTGCTGTCCTACTTCTGGCTGGGACACGCAGGTGCTCCGCACAGGACGCCTTATAAAAGGGATAAGCAGGGGAGCCTGTCCCGGTTGGAGCAGGAGCCCTGGAAGTGGCCGCCCCTAGCATTAGACCTTAGATCTGTGCGTGGCCAAGAGCTGTGCCGGTGTAAGGTGTTGTCCTGAGCACCGTGCGCTGCTCTCCTGTGCTGAGCTGGGGCTCTGGGTTTCTTTTCTATCGTGTGATCAAGTGAACCAGAATGATTTGGGTTAGAAGGGATCTTAAAGCCCATCTAGTTGCGCCCCCCCTGCCGTGGGAAGGGACACCTTCTAGTAGACCACGTTTCTCCGGACTCCAACCAGCCTGGCCTTGAATGTCTCTAGCAATGGGACATCCACAGCTTCTTTGGACAACCTGTTCCAGCGCTTCTGCACTTGATCCAGGTCTGCTCTTTGTATCCTCCATGGTGTCCCAGAGCTTTTGGTAGATTTCTGTACGCTAGACCTATGGTAATTGMAGCCTAAACAAATCTTCGGGAGCAAATGATATCCCGGGGCATGTGGGAGACCAGAAACTTTMCCTTGTTGAAAATGCAGGAGCTGTGCATTGGCATCTCTTTTTGGGAGAAGGAATTTGGGAGCTTTCCCAGTCCCTGCAAGGGGTGTGTGCTCTATTTTTTTAAAGCTCTGAGAGCGAATGATGGTTGGCACAGACATTTGCACTTGTGGGCTCTTTCTGTGAAGCACCCGYTGTTTATTCTTTCCCTGCAGGTAACCAGCCAAGAGCGTGTGGTGGTCTCTGTATAAAGCAACTCTTGAGTCTGTACTGGGATTTGTGTAGGTTGCTCCTTTGCCATAGGAAAGGTGAGTAGGATTATTGCCATGTGTCTAAGTCTTTCTAGTTTAAATGCTTCCCGAAGTGGACTGGTACTTAAACAGTCCTATGACTGCTAGTTTTTCTAAATTTGTTTGAGAATTGTGCTTCTGCCTAATGTTTTATATAAGTGAACTGAATTTTATGGCAGATGATATTTAGTCTTTGTCTAAATGATTTTTTTATACTAACTAAATTTTTTATTATTTTTGGCTAAAAATACCAACTTAACTTTTGCAAAGATGTGTATCTCCCCTATTGTTGGTTCTTAATCTGATTTTGTAAATTATGTAATCCATTCCAGCGGAATCAATCTCAAAAATGAGGTATTTTTAGAGCTAGATCTTTCTGTGGAGCTATTTTATGTGTAGTAGTTCATGCTATGAGCACACTGTAATTTTTTAATTGTATCTGTGATATGTTGAGTAAGGACCAGTTGCTTTATTTGGAAATGCTATCAAATACTTGTTTTTGTTATAAACCTAGGATCTTAAAGAGTGTAGTTTAGTGTCATAGGTGATGTGACATGACAKCTGAGTCCCAGCAATAGCTGATTTTTTTGTGTAATGTGCAGCTGATTATTGGGAGTGGAAAAAGTGTAGCATGCAGGGGATTTTGTCTGAGATAYTGCCATACACAAATTTCAGCCTGCTTTTGTATGAAATAGGACTATCCTTTGTATTTATCAACTGTCAGTTGTGTGTCAAACAGTACCTCCTGATATTCTGTGAAAATCTTAGTCCTCAAAGGCTTTTTAATCCTGAGCTGTGTCATTCGGCACAAGTTAGAGCTGGGGAGGTTTTGCATAGTGCCCTTGTGTACTGTAGACTCTGTYTTAACGTGAGATTAGAGCAGAACTAAGCTGTGGTTACAAGCAAGATCAGATTACTGAGTCTGTTAATGAATTCAACTTTTCTAGATGCTTTTTTTGTAAGTCTGGAGAAATGAATGCTGATATTGTGCTGGGTGTTTCCCAGAACCCAGAACACATGGGCCTGTCCMATCCTGCTGACCTAATTCAGGGTCACAGTGGGCCTGAATTTGAGACMCGTGGGTTGTGACTGAAGCAGCTCCAGCTGATTTGAGATGATGGGAGCTCCCTTAAGAGTGTGTCTTATGGAAATCCAGTCCAAGGTTGGGTGTGCAGAAATCAGCCCTCAATCTCTTGCTGTGCATGGATTTGAGAGTACTTCATGTTCATCTGATGTACAGCAGCCTCTCCCCACTGCAGAGAGTTGTATTTTCACATTTTTTCTCCTGCTCTGTCCATTGCTGTCTAGCCTATGTCTCATGTCAGAGGGATCAGGTGGGGCTTTCAGATTTGCAGTCCTGTGTTAGATGGACCTCTCAGGCATCCCCTTGTCTGCTAGCAGATCTTTTACCACCTTGGTAGACCCTTTGGTTTGTGGTCAAAATGTGTCTCCCATTGAAGAAAACCCATAGGTCATGTTGGTCAGTCAAGAGAAAAAGGAGAAAGGTTCTGTTTGGCCTTATGAATGTGTAGCTGTCTGACTTAATGAGGACAGCAAATAGGCCTTTTATCCCCACTCCAAAAGTAAAAACATTAATCCTAGTGCCTGAACATCTGGCATTGTAATTCATAGACAAAAGAGGAAAAATGTACTTGAAAGTGAGGAAGAAAAGGGAATCATCTGTGAAATCATCTGGGATCATTGATAAAAGGACTCATGAGTTGTTGATTGCATCCCAGAGTATCTGTGTTGTCACACTTGAGTGTGGAGGAATGATGGAGGAGGTGGCCTGGGGAAAAAATCAAGCATAGACTGGCATAATTAGCAGGACAGGATGGGGTTATGAGGAAACAAATTATGCAGAGCCRTGACTATGTTGACATCTCCTTTGAGAAAAGCTGATAAGGTTCTGTGTGTTGCCAGTTCCATTTCTGTGGTCCCACTGTCAGGTTCCTCTGGCTGAGGGTCACAGCTGCTGTCTGTGCCTGAATTCCCTCGGAGCTGTGAGGATCTGAACAGCCCTTGTGGGYTTGAGCTACATGTGGCACCTCTGAGTTCCCCAGTGAGCGGGAGATCTGCTTCTCTGGGAGCTGTGTGAGTGAGGCTCTGTTTAAGCACTTGAGGGAAACCTGTAGGCTGGAACAGCTTGTACAAATCTGCTCCTAATCAATTGTTTAAGTGGGCTAGTTGCAACAAGCTGAGTGAAGGATGGTGCTTTCGTTCCCACATGAGGTCTCTGGGTTTGGAATTCCTCCCACTCTCAATTGTAAAATCATATTCAGCAGACACTTGTTTCTTTGGCTGTTTTGATTCTGATAGTTGTTTATTTTTTACTGCTATATTGCTACTTGTAATGTATTATGTGTGGAATGTTTGATATGTCTATCTCATGTCTTTGTCCAGATGTATCATTATTAGATGCCAGACCAGCTGCCATCTGTGCTAAGCTGCAACCAAAATGGCAAAGTATAGGCTCATTCTCCTAAGACATGGGGAAGGAGCCTGGACCAAGGAGAACCGCTTCTGCAGCTGGGTGGACCAGAAGCTGAGCAGTGATGGGATAAAGGAAGCTCAGAACTGTGGCAAACACCTCAAAGCRCTGGGCTTTGAGTTTGACCTGGTCTTCACCTCTGTGCTGAGCCGCTCCATCCAGACTGCATGGCTTATCCTGGAAGAGATGGGCCAGGAGTGGGTCCCCATTCAGAGCTCCTGGCGACTGAATGAGCGTCATTATGGAGCACTGATTGGGCTCAACAGAGCAGAGATGGCTCTGAATCATGGGGAGGAGCAAGTGAAAATCTGGAGGAGAAGCTATGATGTTACCCCACCTCCCATATCTGAATCTCACCCCTACTATGAAGAGATATACAATGATCGCCGCTATAAATGCAGTGATGTCCCTCAGGAGAATCTCCCAAAGGCTGAAAGTCTCAAAGATGTGCTCGATAGACTCCTTCCTTATTGGAATGAAAAGATAGTGCCAGAACTGAAAAGTGGCAAAATGATTCTTATCTCTGCTCATGGGAACAGCAGCAGGGCATTGCTGAAGCACGTGGAAGGTAAGGATCTAGGTTTTAGCCTTCTCCTYTCCTCCTTACTCAATGGCTTGGAGCTTTATATCTTGTTCTGTAGTGTATATTACTTATGTGGCCAAGGYAATAATGTCTGCAGTCTCCATGGAGAAAGTAAAAAGTTGGTCAGGAATCMAACTGGGGGAAGTAGAAGGGGGAGAGAGGTTAATGTAATTGAGGGCCTGATACTTTCATCTTATTTCTTATTGTTCATTTMGAGCTACTGTGTTCAAACTAACTTTGTGGTTGGTCTAAACAGACAAAARCTCTGCAGGCTCAAATTATTTTTGGATTTTTCCAGCTGCTTTTCAGGTTTGAAATAATAATCTCTTCATTAAACAAGCATTGCTGTAACACAGCAGAATAAAAGCGCCTGACTTGAGTTCTGGCATGTTTGTGACTTACTGTGGTGGGTCATCCTGATAATTTTTTATTTAAAAGTTATTTAGAACAATTYTAGTTTAAAACCATTATCCCTTGTTCTATTGTCTCCATCTTTCTTAGAGGCCCTCTGGAACCTTCTCTTCTCCAAGTTAAACAGCCCCAACTCAGCCTTTCTTCACGGGAGATGTGCTCCACCCCTCTTAACTTTTGTGGCCCTCTTCTGGTCCTGCTCCAASAGGTCTTTCCTGGGCTGAGAGTCCTAGAGCTGGTCTTGAAAAGGACTTATTTGGGACTTAATGATAAAAAACCTCCTTTTCATTGTTCGACCTTCCCTGCCTTCTTTCATCTCCTGGCTTCTAAGCCATYCTAAACTGGAAGTTGAACTATATTAATTTCTTTGTGGGTAGAGCAGAATTTAGTGATTAKATATGTGTGAATGCAGTCTACTACAGTTGTAGTTACAAATATGCATAGTTTGGATTTTATCCACTCAGGTTTTTTTTTAAGTTATGAAATCCTCTGTTCTGTGGCTCTGCCTGCTGAGTACTTTTTGCATTTGGTCATGCTGGAMCTGTCAGGACACAGGAGTCAGAAGCCTGGGAAGTAAGCACGTACAAGTGACTTCTGCAGCTAGAGAGGCTGTGAATGCAGAGATGCAGATCACTGCTTGGAGGAGCGAGGAAGGGCTGGTTCAGTCAGTTCCATGATGTGGTCAGAATGGTTGTCAAATGATAAAGGAAAAGGGGAAGAGGGACCTGCAACGGTGGTGACTCCCCTGCCTCCCAAGAACTAAACCAGTTCAGTGAAACCACACTGGCCAAGCCCTTTGGGGGTGAAATGCTGACAGCTGAATGTAGCTTCAGCAGCTATCCTGGGATACCTTCTGTGCAGGCCTGCACAGGGGCTGGCAGCATCAGGGGCAGAGAAGGGTTACTTTGGAGTTGGTGTGGCTGGATTTCTTGCTCCACTGAGATCAGAGAGCAACAGTGCTGCAGAACTTTTTTTTTGGGATGATTGTTAACTTGTGTAGCTCTTCCAGGACTGCCCATRCTCAGCCAAAGTATAATAAAGCTATCCTTTGTCTTACAATATACTTTGTCCCTCCCAACCTATGCTTACATAGGGAGATGTGAGGAATCCTTGGCAGAGGATCTAGTTCTGTTGGCCAGGGACCATCCATAAGCTGCTCCAGCTCCCACACAGGAGCAATTGGCAGGTACCTGCTAGCTCTCCTGCCCTTGATGTAGTTGAGATTGGATTTCTGAAGAACTGGGCTGAAGGTTAGCATGGATAGAGCTTTAAGATCCCTGGTATTGCAATCTGCCTTTGTTTTTTTTTTTTTTGGTTTTTTTTTTTTTTTTTTTTTTTTTTTTTTTTTTTTTTTTTTTTGTTTTTTTTGTCAGCCTAAATGTAGCTGGATCTAAGAGGTTCCTTGTCTGCATTGCTGACACTCTCTCTTCTGAAAGGCTGTGAGTTGCTCTGGARCCCTGCTGGAGCTGGACCTGATTCAACAGTGCTTCAAGTTCATCGGTCTACTGTATTTATAGCACCCACTGTGAGATGGACTGTGCTTTTGTGGATTGTTTTTTTACAAGCTTAGTGTATCCTGTACTTGAGTGGAGTTTTTTAAGCCCCTCTAATTTAGCCAGAGATTTTTTTTTTTTTGTATTTTGAAAACTGGGATCCAAATGCCTCAAGCAGCAATGTTACAGGGCTGCTTGGAAATCATAGTCATAGTGGTTAACTTGATCTTGGAAGATGTTGCTCAGGAATTYTAAATGGTGGAAAATGTTTGACTGATCAAAGCTAATTGTTTGAGTGTCAATTTGCTTCGAGTATCCCTTCAAGTTACTTTTTAAAGGAGGTATTTCTTTGAAACAGGCCTGCAGTTCTCTAAATATATGTTTTCCTGGTTCTGAGTAATTGGTAAAGAGCAGGAAATGTAGTTCTGCTTTCTACTTGCATGCAGTCATTGGAGACACAGCATCATGCTCAAAAGGCTTTGGCTGTGGCTTTGGATTTTGTTCTTTTCTCAGTGCATGCAGTTGACCTCATTAAGGTATATGAAATGTCTGTCATGCTAAATAAGCATCCTGGATGCACAGGATCTATTTGCAGGTGATTTTTTTTCAGTTCTTTGAGGGAAGATAGTTTTCTCTTTATCTAGTAACCAGTGCTTTATATTGRAACCCTCTTGCCATTGTTCCGTTATGAAGACGTTAGTGTAATACGTGTGACTACCCTGTCCTGTTTCTCTTGAAGTACTAATTAAAGACCAAGTCCAATGGACTGATTTCCCAGATGAATGGCAGAAGGATTGATGGGCTGTCACAATTTTTCTTTCTTCTTCGCCATTTAACCTTGGGGACTGGTGTCAAGTACCTCAAAACAGGGGCTTGTGGAAGGCCTGATTCCAGAATTTCCAACTTGTGGCAAGGTTGTCACCTCTTGAATATGGTGTGGTGTTCACTGAGCCTTCTCATGTTCAGGGCTAAAACTGGAGGGTAGGAGTTGCCTGGTCTCTTGAAGATACAGATGTTGTACTCACTGGGGTTGTTGGGCTGTCACAGGACTGGGACAGATGTCTGGGACTGGGCTTGCAGCAGTGTGGTGACTRTGAAAGCCTCATGCTGGTTTTGCCAGCTGGTGAGCAGGGAGGGCAGTGCCYTCAGGATTTTGCTCTCTTGCATCACTCTGAGTGTGTTAGTTGTTGTGTGGTTATAGTATTCCAATAGTTTACGTGCTGGAGCTGCACATTGTGACACCTGGTGCAGATTGTGTGCTGAGGGCTTCTTAGTGAGATTATTTCATTGATCTTGCTGCTTAACCTTCTTAAGGAAATACTATTTGTGAGTGTGGTGTCTGAGTGCAGTTGTGGGAAACAGCTTGAGATCTAACAACTCAGTTCTCTGTCATTTTTTTCTCAGTTGTTGCTCAGTGCTTCTGCTGTTTATTTCTTGTGAGCTCGTTGGGCCTTATTGAAAGTTACCTTGGCTTGTGTTTTGGCCACTGCTGAGCAGTGCATCCACAGGATCAGGAATGGCCTCCCAGTAGCCAGGGGCTGGGCAGGGATGTAGCCAGGAGAGCTGACCCAAACTGACCAAAGGGATATTCCTTACTCCATATGATGTCTGTTCAGCAGTAAAAGCTAAGAGAAAKAGGAAGGGCATTTGTAATGACATTGGAGCAATTGCTCTGCATACTGAAGCCGTAATTAGTGGGAAGTGGCTGGATATTGCCTGCTGATGGGAAGTAGAGAATAAATCCTTTTCCTTTGCTTCTGTGCATGGCCTCTGCTTGTGCTTTAGTCAACTGCCTTTATCTTGACCCACAGGTTAATTTTTCATCTTTTTCCTCCACCCACTRTGCTGAGGGTGGGAGTGATAGAGCAGCTTGGTGGGCTCCTGGTGTCCAGCCAAGGTCAAGCCACCACAGTTCTCTGTTGGTGACCCACTGTAACACCCTAYTAAGGAAGTCTGGCTGTGCAAACTTAATACAGGCATAGAAAATCTTCGCAGACATGAGTGAAACTAATGTAGGTCATATGCTACAACCATGGTTGTAGCCCACCCATCTTTCTCTCCTTAGAATTTGCAGAGTGAGATAATATTCTATCAAGATCAAAAGCCAGATTCTAACACTGTGCTTATTTCCCTCCTCTACCCTGTTGAAGTTAGATCCTCTGTCAGCTTGCAGGGAGGGTAGAAAGTAGCTCTGTATATTTAACTTACTAGGCTATAGCTTTAGTATTTTCACTAAACATGTGGAAAGGATGCTKTGACCTGATTTGGAACTCAATTACAAAGCACCAGTACTAAACAAGCCCATTGTGGCTGAATTTGTGCATATAATCATGTATGTTTTATTGGATGAATCATCTGGCCTCAAGTGCAGTTGACACGCAGGGGAGGAGGGCTGTAGTTGTTCTCAATAGCTCTTGGGATTTTGGGTTCCTCTGACCATAAGAATAGATAGGAGGAACTTGGTAAGAACAGGTGAGAGGGAAGAGGAAGCTGAACTAGCAGAAGTGCTGTAGTCCTCAAAATCAGCGGAGTTTGTGGGACTTTGCAAGKTAAAAATATTTCAAAACACTCTGTGGGCTACCACATAAAGGTGAATTCTTAAGCTTGCCTGGAGATATTTCCAGTTTGTGCATTTGATTACCCACTTCAGTTAAACAGAGGATAAGTGAGCTGGGGAGGAATTTGGAATGTGATTTTGAAGGGTCTTTTTCATAATAAGTGCTGTCCCAAGTTATTTTAGTGCTCATGTACCTAACTGCTTCCTGCTATACAGCTAAGGGACAGCTTTCTCAGGAGAGCGYGTGGGAGATATCCACTTGAGGAATGTAGCTGCCTAGTCACCATTTTATYCAGGGTCGTGAGGAAGTCATCCTGAGTACTTCAGCAATATCTCTGGGTTCCCATGGCTGTAAGTAGGGAGGWCCTGTGCTGAGATCCAGTCTTTGTTACTGAACTGGAGGGAAGAGTGTTGCTTCTTCAGAGGTCTTATTTACCGTTGCACCTTGTAGTCAGCAGTTGAGACCTTGCCCTGATTTCACCCTTCTTTGCTGTGAGAGAGGCTGGGTTGTGACACAGGTCAGCTCGGATGAGGTGCTGGAAAAGGTCAGCTGGTTATAGTTACAGCACATGGAGTAACTGGATAGCAGTTAGCTCACACTCCAGCCATTGCAACTGCAAGGTGTGATCCCTTTGCTGTCCTCCTGGCCTGCTGGCTGGGGAGTGTTCTGGTGAGCTCCCCCTGCTACCAAAAAGCTTGTGTGATCAGCCTGCTCAGTTTCTTGCTTCCTGAAGAACAGAAATACTATACACAGCAACAGGATATTTTAGGATTTCCATCTGACTTCAGCATTTCCAGACTTGTGTTTGTGGAGCAACACTTCTGTATGAGGAAAGTCTGTATGAGGAGAAAGACCATCATGTTTGCTACTGTGTGTTTATCCTAGACTGCACTGTTTTGCTTTGTAAATCAATAYAAGTTGACATTGTGGTCACTTTGTGTCCTGTAAAAACAGTAAAATGCATTCCTGAATCCATGTAGCTACAGCTAGTTTTGTTTAATCCATCTCCAGAGGAATCCTTTAAATATCATGTCTYCTGACCACATTATGTGGTTTGCCTAAACTCTCCTGCATGACTTCATCTGCTCTGTGTATCTATGAATGGTTTAGTCTGGGAGAATGAATTTAAGAGGTGGGCAGAACACTTCCTAGGCACAGGGGATTTCTGTAATTTCTGTAAGTCTCTAGGGATTTACATGGTGATGTGGATGTTGTTAAACTCTAATGTTTAAGAATCTTTGAAATAAAGAGCTCGGGCAGCTTGGCTGCTTGTTTTGCAAAGTCCCTAAGAAGATGGCATATGCCTGGGTAAATGAATGCAGTATTTCTCCTATTCATTTGTGTGTTGTCTTTAAATTTGAGGGTTTTTTTGCCTTGTAGGTCTGATTCTGTGGCCTACATCAGATTAATTATTTATCTCTTGTATTAAGCAAGAATTGCTTACACTRTGGGAGTGTGACTTATTTCAGTGGACTGATGCTCCATGTGTAACAAGGTGTAAGCTTCTTCTAGTGCTCCATGCCCTTCTGAAACTTAAGGCTCACCCATAATCAAAGCAAGAATAGGTCACTGCAAAAGATGGCTGCTGGTGTAGTCTCTGGGCAGGGGCATATGATCCTCATCTCATGGATAGTTCTGTTTTTTCAGACCTGTTGTCATCCCACTGTTGCTGAGTTGCTTGACTCATGTGTGTTTTCCTGTTAATATGTTGGCTCTGCTTTTCTACTTAATGTGAAAATCACTGCTAAATTTACACCCATGTGTTCTGAGACCATCTGTTTTGTCAGCTGCTCAGGAGGATGTTTGCTTGGTGCACCTTGGTCCAGTTTATATGGTGTCAYCACTTTAGAAGCTTGGTTGTGTGCGTTTTCCAAGTGTGAATTACTCAAAGCTGCCTTGCCTCAGAATGGTGGGCTGCTGCTGTGACCACAGTACTTCTAAAAAGGGGAGGAAAAAAGAAATCTTGACATTCCCAGTGACACTAGCTTTCTTTTGCCTGAKTTTTTGAGGGCTAATGCCTTTGCAGTCACTTTTTAAGGCTTTTAATGCAACTATTTAGACCTGGTGTGGAAGCTTTACTAGGCTGTTTGGTCTTGAAATTCACTTGGAGGCTTTGGATGTGTTTTTGATGTAAAAATARCCAGCAATTTCATTGATATGAGAGCCACAGAATATTTTAATTACACACGTGTGTAAAATAAACTTTGTTTTCAGGTACACATTCCTTTAGTGAAATGAGAAAAAAAATGCATGAAGCTATACAAGTTGACTTTCTCCCTCCTTTTTCTTTCTCTTCCTGTCATTTGGAAGTGGAAATGAATATCCTGTGTGTAGTAATTCTGAGAACAGTGGACACTGCTGTAAACTTGATTATGAGAAATCAGATGTAGGCCAAGAGTTATTCTCACACTAGAAAAATTAAATTCTGATTTTTAAGTTCGTTTGTATGAGAAGAGTTGCATAATAAATTTAAGAGAAAAGTTGATCTTGTTATCCTGCCTTTTTAAAGAGTCTATATTGATTGCTTAGCAGAGGTTATTTCATGTTGGAGTAGCACATGTGGACTTTCATCATCTTTTGTGATGTGTGAGTTGGGAAATTATGGAGGGGAAACCTATTGTACTGCATGTCCTGTATTAAAGGAATGGTATAGTCTCCAGGGCAATTTCTTCCTGTTTATTTCACATATGCGGGCTGAAAAGGTGAAGAAACTGTCTTAACCTTGATGGGAATTCTCTCCTTTTGCTGTTCCTAAAGCACTTACCAAGCTGTGGCCTAGCTTGGAGTTGACCCTTGAGTAGCAGGTGGTSTTGATGGAGGCTGGAATGTGCCCTTGACTGTATTAAGACCAGATAATCTCAGAAATAAGGCAACAGACAATGAGGAAGCTGCAGGTGTAACTCTTTTATTTTTCKTTGGCAGGTATCTCGGATGAAGACATCATCAATGTCACCCTCCCCACTGGTGTGCCCATACTWCTTGAACTTGATGAGAATTTGCACCCTCTGGGCCCTCACCAGTTTCTGGGCGATCAAGAAGCTATCCAAGCTGCCATCAAAAAAGTGGAAGATCAAGGGAAAGTAAAATCTGCTGAGAAGTAAAATCCCACTGTGTAACACAGCTGTGTTCAGTGTGGTAGTAAGTGACKATGTGTGTATGACTGATAGGTTGCACTGTGTGAATGTCACAATTTCAAGCACTAAATAATTGGAAAGGACAATTGTTGAGTCTCAGGTTGGTAGTTTAAACCCTCTGCCTTTTCAAAAACTGGAATTTAGATTGCAGCATGAGGTCTTTGGAAAAAGAAATGAAGAGGTGATTCAGGTAAKGGAAACTTGCAGGGCAATCTGCCCCAGATCCACCATTGGGGATGGCCCAGTAGAGGAATAAAGGGATGTGTTATTGGTGTGTACCAGTAATCAGTCCTAATCTGTTAAGGAGAACAGCACCAGTTTACTGGACTAATTAAGTCCAGGTTGTTACAGGCACTAAAAATCTCACTGATTTGGAATCAGAACTCTGTCATGAGCCTCGATTCTTCTTTATAAGTGTGAGAGGATGTTTTTTTTTTTCTTTTTAGGAGAGCAGTGTGACAGTTTGGTGTGCCTCTGACAGTCTTTCTGACATGTGGAGCAACATTTTCTAGGTCTGATGTCAGCTCACATTAGAGTAGCACATACTCCACAAAAGACTTCTTGCTAGAAGGTAGTTTCTCATGCATGAATGGKGCTTGGGTTTCTCTTTGGTTTTGTTTTCGTAGCCCTTGCAGCAGGAATGAAATGACATGTTTGTCTTTTAAACACAAAGCTGGTAGGTTTCCCCTTTCTTTGTACAAGAAAAGATATTTCAGTGTTTTTGATTGGTTTGTTTTGTTATTTTTTTTCTCTAAAATGCTACTAGCAGCTCCTCTGCTACTTGATTTGATACTGACTTAGTTTCTGGGGTTTTAGTTTTCTGTGYGTAGAGTAACTCTGATTCTTAGTTGATAGTTTACAAGTGAGTGTTAGATTGCTGATCAGCAAACGTTCATCTGTGATAACCCTGAGAAGGGCCACTGGCACTCAAGTGAATAAATTCTTCCCCAAACGTTAAATAATGTGTAAAGCTTAGTATCAATTTAAATGTTACTGTGGACTTGTGAACAAGACTAGCAGAGCCACCTGTTGTCAGTGGGAACTGCGTGCAACCAAAYGTGTGGGCACACAGGCTGTGTCCATATCCCTTTGGCATTGTGGAATTGTCATGTACAACTTACTCAGGACATGACACGCAGCTGGAATACACTTAGAAATGAACCCAACTGAACTTGGAGATAGGCTCTCTCCTCCTCTTAGAGAATCCCTGAGCTCTTCTGTGAATGCAGAGGAGAATGGAAAGGTGGATGAGGGAATTTAGGGAGGATTAGTATTTATTCTTGCAGCTGAATGGATGAAATTCACTGAAATAATATTTTCATAGTCGTGGACAGGAAGAAGAGAACGACACTGTGATGTTTKCAGGAGGTGCTGTTTCTATAGTGCAGCTTGACATGTGAATAGTGACAGTGCCCTGTGAAGTTGGGCGTTGTTTGCTTGGATTGTGACTCCAAAGTGATGACAGGATTTTATGTGCACATCTGGCAGCAATAACGCCTTGCAAAACTATCAAATKGAACCAACTGGGGATTCCAATGCTCTTTAAGGTTATTTTAATACCTTGCAATTCTCAGTAGCCTTTTAATTAAAATCCTGATCTATGAACCATGTTTACTGGAGAACAGAAACCAACTTCCATCAARAGTGGCATAAGGATTCCTGATCTTCAGGCATAGCTACATCAGAGGGAGAAATCAGAATCCTCTTTTAGAGATCAGTGGTTGGGGAGCATTTTTCCCTATGTTTGAGTGTGCCTCCAAGTCCTATAGGTAACTGGTGTTTTTACAGTTAACATAATGGATGTRGTTTATTTGGTTTGTTTATGCATTTTTAACTTGTGGTTCAGTAGCAGTAATAGCTCTAGATCCTCATGAAAACCTTTGTAAATATGGTGGAGCTGACAGGTTCTTTATTACTCAATAAATTCACCTGAAATAGAATTTGATTTGGCTTCAGTCTTTTTTTACTTTCTACTCTGATACCCTTTGTTTCTTTTTGGGGCTGATAAGTAAATTAAACTGACCTTCAGGGTTCTAAAACTGTTTTTTATCACACATCATGCAGTCAATTGAGTTAATACAGTGTTAGGGTCAACACTTACTCATGTTCACATGCAAAGAAGTTGGGTTGTAGGGAATACATACCTCTTCAAAACCATGGGAATTTACTTGGGAATAATGAAATTTAGTTCCAGAACAGTGAGTCTGAACAAGTACTTACTGATTGCCATGCTTGCTTTTCCTTTTAATTAAGAAGCCTTACTTTTTGATGGTGTGTTTAAAACTGTTGCTTCTGGAGCCAAAGCCAACCCTTTCACTCTCCAAAGTACTTTGATGCCGAGCAGTTGTAACTCCAATGACAAGCACATGGAACTGCAAGCCTGCTGAGGTCTGTCTCTTACTGCTGACCTTCACACAGAGAGCCTTGGATGCTGGGATAATGGGAGGTAGTATAAAAGTGCTAAGAGAACTTGAACATTTGGATAGAAGTGGGGAAGACATAGTTGTGGGGCTTAAAATAAAAGCATACTGAAGAAACAGACTGTTTTTAAACTTGGTCTTCTGATTGTGTTGAGATTGAATGGGGAATGGAACAGATCTGTGTACTGTTATAATTTTGTAGTTAGTGTGGCACTGCTGCCACCCAATTAAAAAAATTTAAGGTGTACTTTTAAGGTATGTTCCCTCCCTTTCCCCCACTTACCTTTTGTACTTTGTTCTGCCTTAGTAACATCTTCAGATTGTTCCAGAATCACGTCMGCTGTTTCCTGGGTTGGGAAAAGACCTTCTAAAGACCAGCTTGGTTTCAGTCTGCCATACTTTTGTGTCAAGAAGTTTGCTTTGAACTTGCTCTGCAGAGCCYGAGGAGAAACTATATATCTTGTCAYGTTTCCAAAACTTCAACTTTGCTTTCCTCCTTTCCTTTTTAACATTTTAGTGTGTGGAAAGTGCTTATTCTGAAAGTTCAYAATGACACTTGCATTGTTTGACTTCTGTGCTGGCCTCAGCATCTCACAGGCAGGAAAGGAAGCTGACATGACCTCTCTGCTGCTCAAGAAAGCTCGGASCTGTGGTGGGAACTGAGTGATGATTCAAATGGAGGGTTCAGAAGGGTTTGGAATTTCCCTTTGGGAGGTGTTCTCAGCAGGTGTTGCTGCCTCTTCCTTGTGTTACGGTGGCCAGAGGTTCTGGGGGTGGGTGAATACAAGAGGGAACTTGAGCTTCCTACAGAAGATGCCTGTGATATGGCATTCTTCTCTCCCCCTGCCTTATTCCTTGTTAGTCAGCAACCAGCTCCTCTTGGGGCTATTCCAGCAGGATTTGGCAGCCAGGTTGTGTCCCCATGCTGCAGGGGAAGAGGCTCCCTGTTTGCTCTTCCTGTTATGTTGACAGAGCAGAGGAGGGCAGCAGATACCAGAGGATGGATGTTGCTGTGCTGTGCAGTCCCTCCCAGTGCAGTGAAGCACACTGAAGATGATTCTTGATGGCTCTTTTAAAAGGAGGGCCATTGACTCACAGCTCAGTTGGAAATGGCAATGTAAATGAGCCTTGAGTCCCTTCTRACTCAGATTATTCTGTCCTTGTTTCTGTGATATGCAATTACTCTTAACAGATTYCAGAAAGCAGTTATGGCTCTAACGRGACCCCTGGCACTACACTGCAAGCRTTAATGTCCCATTAATAGAGCCATGTTCTTCCTCAGGTCTCTCCCCCTCAGCACAGCATGTGAGTAGTTCCCTGCCTTCTGTCTGGCACTTGCATAAAAGTGTTATATTAATTTGGTAAAATAAACTCTCTCCCTCTCCTAGGAAAGCAGTGTAAATCCAGCAACAGCAAATTTGGTTGCTGTTGGCTTCAGAGGAGCCAGGCAGTATTTTGTTGCCATCTTCCAGGTTGATCATTTCTAGCCATTAGGAACAAATGGCACGACTGAACACACACATGGAGCACCCTGATGCTGCCAGAGCTGTTTGGTTGAGGTGCCTGTTTCTTTCAGTAAAACACTTTTTTTTCCTCTTTGTTCCTGGTGGTAATCTAGCAGAAGTGCTGGAAAATAGGAACGTGCTTGTGCTATTAATCCAATAACCTAAATGGAGGATGCTTTGCTGAGGAATTAATTACCTAGTGCATCCTGCTTTCCTGACAGACACTTGTCAGGCTCTCAGTAACTACTATGATTAAAGTTGAGTTAGATCTCTACATCAGGTGTGCGGTTCTTCAATGGTTCCTGAACTATAGGGTTTTTTTTTTTTTTTTCCAGGGTCTTTATGGAAGGCAGTGATAGTGGCTGTGTGAGGAGTGAGAAAGCAGGCACAAACATCCCTAAATATCCCTAAAGGYAAAAAGCAATTGCACAAATTGCAGCTGTAGATGGACTTGTAGAAAAGCAAGTGGACAACAGGTGGAGCAAGTGCATTGTGGTAAAGTGTGCACAGAAAAGAGGATAAGTTTCACACTCCTGTGAGCACATGGGGGACAGGCAGGTGTCATTGGCCTCTCCTGAGAGGCAGCATGTTTTATCTCAGCCAGCACTGCCCTGTGGTGTAACAAGTCTATGAGTATGAGTTTGTTCTGCTGTGGAATAAATGGCAATCATCATCTAGGGTGGCCTGTACAGATTAGTCCTGCTTTTGTCTTGTGTCAGCAGCTTTGCTAGACTCGTCAGTGCTGCATGAGTAAAAAGTGCTTAGTACATGCCAAATTAAAAAAGAACATAAATAGGAAGATTCTTTTCCTTGGATTTCAGGGAATCTAATTTCCGATGCTCTTGTACTATTTTTTCCCAAGGACTCTTGTATTCTTCTCTCTCCTCTATCAGAATTAGTGGAAATTTATAAGCATTTTGCATGCTTTCAAATTGAGCTTTGAGAGACTCCCCTTACACCTATCTTGAAATATGTGGACTGATGTGAGTTGTCCAAGTAGAGTGGATCTGTAGGTATAGATAGAAAAAGACCCCTGCATAGCAAATGCTCAGTCTCATTCTGCAACCTTCCCTAACACATTAGTGTGAAAGGTAGTAGTTACGGATACAAAACTCAGGAGCTTTGTTTTTGCATTTGATGTGTAGTTCAGCCCAGGCCCATATTGGATTTTTTTTTTAAAAAATATTTGCACATATGTATTACATTTGTGTGAAATACTGTGGGAACTGGCAATCAATTTTTATTGGACAGTAACAAAGCAGAATACACTATCCCAGGCCTCATTTTCTCAGATGAAAGCTTTAGAAGACCCTACTGAAGTGAAAAGTACTTTGTTTCAGTACTAGAAATCTTACATTCTGTGCTTTCCCTTCTGTGTGGTTGGCWTGAGAGTTTTCCACAGCCAGGAATACCTTCTCTTAACTAGTACTAGAACTTTATATCCTATTGTCCTCTAGTTCCTTATTTAGCTTCAAAATCTTGCATTTTGATACCTGAGAGCTCAAATTCCACAGGAGCTTGGATTTTGGTCCTATTTTCTTAGCTTGGAAAGCATGAATCAGATTTGGTCAGAATCCACCAGAAATACTGACATCTTTGTTCAAAACAATGAAAAAAAATGAACACTGGGAAGTGTGAAATGGTTTCCATAGAAAGCTGCTGCCTACACAATAAGGAAACAAATGCCAGTTGGCTGAAAACTCACATGGTCCTTTGTGTTTGGAGAGAAGAGTTATCCTTGGCTCTGGATGGTCCCTTTTGGCTACTGTGTTTCTCACATCTCAAGTTTGTGGGTTTGCCCTGTCCCCTGATGTAGTCCTGCCCTAAACTTCTTCATCCAACCACCAAGTACCTTCTCCAGGAGCTCCCACACAGCCTTCTTCCGTGACACCTTCCTCAGTGGTGTGTCCTGCCAGCTTCACAGGGCTTTTAAGAGGTGCTTAGATGGGGGGAGACAGGGTCAAGTGTGGAATAGGTCTGAGAGGGAGATACATCTGAAAAAGCCTGAGAACTGCTGTGCTGAGGTATGGATTTCCAGCTGGATCACATTTTATATTTTACAGTCCTGTCTGCATTCCTATGATGCACAGGGGAAAATGAGGATTTTTATATTTTAGCTGGAAAAAGCCACCCACGTGAGAGAAACATTAAGTGACCTGTTCTCCTCTTAATAGTTTTTATCTGCTTGTTCTGTTCTCTCTGTTCCTTCAGTGAAGCTTTCCTACCAGCAGCTGCTCATGCCCAGCMGTTTTTCCCAGCTGACAGTGGTGGAACTGCTCGCACAGCAGGATCTGTTGGAGGCAGGAGGAGGGCTCTGTGGCCTAAGGGGCTTTTGCAGTGTTTCTGCAGTGCGTRGGCTCAGCAGTGCTACATGACAAATGACTTCTACTGCTGGCCAAAGACCAGTCTGTGCCTCTGCCACTGCTGGCGAGATTTGTGGTTGTTCATCACCTCATGGATCAGGTCTTTTGTTTAAGAAGCATCATACTTACAGGCACTACTTGATGCTAATTCCTTTGGTGTCCAAGGGGTAGTGTGCCAGGAATGAAGAAGAATTGGTTGAATAAATGAATGGAAAAATCGATTACAGAATTATTAGGGTTGCTACATTAGATCTGTCTGTACTCCCAAAATTATAGTCTAATGGCTGTCAAAACACTGGACAATCTATTTTCCAGTGTTATGTAGCCTTGACTTGGTTTTCATGGAGATGAGAAAAAAGGCTCCACAAAACCTGGTTATTTGGTCTCGGTTCAGAAGGTGCTTAATAGGTTTTGCCTCCTGTGTGCCTGGTTTTGAGTGTTACGCACAGTCATTTCCACTGAACTCAGCATTTCTGTAAAAGCAGGTCACTTGAAGRGCTGTCTAACTGGATGCAGAGAGTGTGAGTGTGTGATCTTGTCCAGCTCTCAGAGACAGCGTGGAGAAAAGGATGAGGAAGAGCCTTTGTGATGCAGGTCCAGTTGCTAGACAAATGTTTAGCCCTCCTGTGTTCAGTGTTTCCACTGATGACTACGGAACTGCTGGTTGAAAAC